AAATTTCCTTTATAGTATTGTATTCTTACATATATTAGAGTATTTAAAAAAATTTTTTTAGATTTTAAAAAATAGATATAATTTTTTATTTACTTATTTACTTAAAATTAAAATTGATTTTTTTCCATACTATTTATTTTATCTCACTAAAATTAACTTTTTTATCTGAAAGAATAGGAAAAATTATAAAAAATTTATATATAAACATTGTATGTATTTTGTAATTTTAGTTACAAATAACAACAAAAAGAAATTTTTTTAAACGACTACCTCCAATATCTTTGATGCAAAGCATATAATACTTATTCTTTTATCTTCAATATTATACAATATATTCACTTACATGTTTTCATGATTATTTTGAAGATTCCAAACAGTTTATTTTTAGGTAGATCCCTTTCAGTAGAATGCTTCATATAATCGTAATGCTTACAAGTTAGAAGATTTAAAATGGAGAAATGGAAATTATTAATATATCAATCATCGTTTTATTAAAGAACGATTGTACTAAATGATCAGCAAATATTTAATTTAGATTATAAATTTAATAACACGTGCAAAAACATTAGATTAATATTTAGTAATACGAGAGCTGTTACGTTACAAAGTAAAAGCAGTCGAAAATTGACAACCTCGATATCGATAATTACTGCTAGTTCCAAGCTTCTATTAGCTTAAAATGGTAGTGCTGAGCACACAATTAATAATTACGCAAAAAAAAGTTTATATAAACCATCATAACTACAGTATAACCATCATAACTATAATCAGGCATATAAATCGCATTTTTTAGCAGTACAGATCATCGTCTCTCTATTTCTTTTCCATTACGAATTTTTATAACCAAGCCATTTTTTGACGACACAAACCGCCGCAGCTTTTTTGCGTCACCGACTTTTTGAAGCAGCTTTTTTTCCCACAAGGTTAGTATGTTTTTTTTCCATTTTACGTGACGTCATGCTATTTTTTGTGACAACTGATTTTTTTTACATACAGCCTCGTGTGTAACACGAGTTTATGCCAGCTTTCGTTAATAGATTTTCTATGATAGAAACAAAAATTTACAGTAGACGCGCACGGCTTACAACGATATGAAAAACAGGAACGAAACCCTAGCATTTTAATTTCCCGCATCTTCCTAGATGAACCGAATAATAACTTTAAACGAAAGTTTGAAACAGTTTCTCTATAAATTAGTACATCGCAAGTCAAAATTTTTAATTACTTGCTGATTATATTTTGAAAAGCCGTCATTTGCTAATTAAACGCAGAAATAACAAGAAATGCGTTACAAGTGCAATTTGTAATTTTTAGTACTTTTTCAGAATTGAACAATATATTCATGTAAAGGTAATTTATTATGCCAAATAATTTCCTTATTTTAATTTAATAGTTCTCTCATTATAATTAATAATACCTGCTGTGTTTCGTGCATGATGTATGTACGTGTATGTATTTAATATAAAATTATTATTATTGCAAAAAAAACGAATATTGCAAAAATAATTAGAAGTTAAAACGCCTACTCGCTAAAACATTAAGAGAAGAGAAAATGGAGCGTAAAAACAGAGATTTGGCAAAAATTTTGGGCCATATGAAATGAATTCAAACCGATATGCTCTATTAGGCTCTAAAATAGATTTTAAAAGCTATCTCAGATCCTATCAGAACAATCGATCGCACATTAGCGAATTATATGAATATGAGACTTTGTTAATTTTTTCATCGAAAAGTATTATATTACAATTATATTATATATAATTATATTACAATATATTAATTATTGATTCTCTCTCTTTTCAAATAAAAAAAAATATGTATGTTATTCAGAGATAATTTTCAATTAAATCCGCGTGTCTGTTTTTCTTCGATGTATTTTTCATGGCAGCGCAAAAAGGAACTTATACATACTGACATTTTATCGTACATACAGTAACGCCCATAAACATTTTAACGTTAATATTTTTGTCTTTTCGTATTTCATGAAAAGTTAAATATTTCTATGAAAAAAATGGTAGAGAAATTTTCGATCATACATTTTAAAATGCAAAGATGGAGCTCTAAGTCTGTTTAAATTTTTATCTATTTTGTTCCTAAATTACATTAAAATGATTTTCTACAATATTTTTATCTTCGAAGCGCTGCAGTTTGATGAAACATTATCGGACAAAATGTAATAGAAAAGTATTTCAAAACAGACTTTTTAAGCTTTAAAATGCTTTTTAAAAAAATTGATACGATGATTTTTCGCAAAGATATTAAATTTTTTATTGCATAAAATTTTATTGTAAAAACTAATTTTAAAATTAATAATTAGAGAAAGTTTTTAAGAAATTTTGAAAAAATTTATATGAATCAAGCACATTAGAATAATTTTTTCTCTTTTGTCTTTTTTTAGTTAGTCTTTTATTATAGTTTCAAAGTTAAAAATCATAAAAGACAAAGTAAATGTTCAAACAATAAAATTTTATTAGGTGTTGGAATTAATTCGTAGCGTTTTACAAGTGATGGGAAGTACTTTCATTAATGTATTTTTTAATGCTCATGTGAAATAAATAACATTCTTTCATTAAAAAACGCTACGAATTAATTCCAACACCTAATATATATCAAAAAAATTCGACTTCTTTGTGAAAAATCATCATACATTTTTTTCTAAAAAGTAATTGAAAACTTATAAAGCCTACTTTAAAATATTTTTCTATTAATTTTCTATTAAATGTTTTCCGATGATGTTTTATCAAACCGCAACGCTTCAAAATAAGAAAAAATATTGCGAAAATACCAATTTTCAATTTAACGTAATTTAGGAACAAAATGTCATAAAAAAAAATCGAACACAAATTTAAAATCCTATCTTTACACTTCAAAATGCATATATAGAAAACTTCTCTATGATTTATTTATAAGCGTTATTATATTATATTATAGATATTTAGTAATCAGATTTTTAGTATATTTATCAATATTTAATCATATAATGTATAAAAAATTTCTAAATATTGTACATATTTAAAGTAATGATGGTTTCTAAAATGATTTCATTTAATTCTAATATTTTAATAAATTCTTAAAATTAGTTCATGAAATTAATTGCATTATTCCTCTGTGCGCTTGCCAGTTTTATTAAAGTAAATTTAACGACGAGAAATCCGATACATTCTTTGTAAACTACTCGGAATATTCCAATATTTATCAAATATCTACATAAAATATTTGTATATTAAAAACAAAATAGTATGAGATTTTCGCGGATTCTCGACGTTATATAAATTAATCGATATATTCCCTATCACGGACGAAACGTAGCGAATGCATTAAATACATTTTGATCTAACACACAACTTTAAATATTTTAGCAAAAATATTAATATAATTTATATACAGTTAAAATTTTAAAATTGTAAAAAATGTTAATATCCGAATCAATCACGAAAGGTGTTCGCAACGTGTTCGTCGAAAAAAACGATTGAAACGAAGTTGTAAATCAGCTGATTCTTGCTTTCATTTTCACAAATGGCAAAATTACACGATACAGCGAAATCCTTCGACGCTGAGATGGCGGACATCGACAGACTTTATCCGAGCAAATCACCACTTTTGGCTCGTCACTTACGCCCACCTCTCAGTACGAAACGATTATTCGATATTCACGGTGAGTATAAAGAGCAAATATAATATTTAATTTCCAAATTGCTCACGTTCTTTCTTAATATTATACTAAATACAGCATTTGGATCTATTATATCTGACATATCATATAAAATTGACGCATTGAATAGTAACAAACATAATTAAATGGGCTATAAAAAAGAAGGATAAAAAAAATCAGTGTATTGTATAAGAATAAATAGTAGTTATTCTTATATTCTTAATATAGACATAATATAAGTCTATGATTTTTATTACATCACTGAAAGAAAAGTGTACTAAATTTTAATGAATGCCATTTTAATATTTATTAAATGTAAACAAATTTGATAGAATTAGAACCATTAATTTGACTATTATATTCTTATTTAGCAAATACTCATTTTATATGAATAAATGTCATATTATTAATTTCAAACAATTATTTCTTAAAATTAAATACATTTTTCTCTTAGTGTATGATTCCTAACTTATTACATACTTATTCACATCTTATATTTAACATAATCTTCATGGATTCATTACTTCAATTTAAAAATTAATTTGACTTACCGATGTGATGCGCAGCAGCGAAATTATAACTGCGACGTTAATCTATAATATATATTTAAATATACGAAAAAATGATAACAACGCTCAAAAAAAAACTAATATTAAAAAAAAATTATTATTTTGCTCGTTAAATTTTATATTCGTACTTTAAATAAATATTTAAAATAATTATATAATTTTTATAAAATCTCTCTCTTTAGTGTAAGATTTTATAATAATTTATATTAATTTTACAAGGAAAAGTCTGTTTATTGTAATGTTTATTTTAATCTAATTTTGAACATTAAAAAAAGAATAAATAAATAAAGACAATTAAAATAATAAATATTATATAAAAAATAAACAGCTTAGCTATCACGCGATGCCTTCTAGGCCTCCTCCTCCTCTTAGATCAGGATTTGTTGCACAAACAATATTTGCAAAAATGCAGAAAATTACGATCGCGCGGTACTTTATACGATACTTTCAAAACGGTTGTTATAATTCATAATATTATATAATTACGCGATACTTTACACGACATTCCCGAAACGCGTGTGCTTAGTTATTTAACTTTTCCTTTCGATAAATTTCTTTCTTAATCTTCTTTTGCTGTTCATTCAAGATATTTGCACAACATTCAAATAATTTATTATACGCGTAAGATAATTATTATTATATATAATTTCCATAACCTATATATAATTTCCAAAAAAGATCTTTTTTTAAGTTTAAATTTTTAATGAATAAGAACCTAATTATTATTTATATTGCAACAAATAAATAATTTATTTTAATTTTTTAGCTCATCCATCCAATGCAATGGATCTGTTGAGACATTAAATTTATTTGTATAATATTCTTATGTTCCTAACTGACTATCTTCCATATAACTAATACAATTTTCACTGATCCACTACTTTAATCTAAAAGTTAATTTTTGACTCACCGATATGATGCACAACAGTGAAGCTGTAATTGCGATATTAATCTATAACATACAAATATAAGAAAAATAGCAACATTCAAATTAGCAAAATATTTTTATATTTTAAAAATAATTATTTTATATTACTTATTAAATTTTATATATATTTTATGATCAAATATACGAAATAAGAATATATAATTTTTATAAAATCTCTTTTCTTAATTAAATAGAAAAATCTAATTTTACAAATAACGAGTCTCTTTATTCTAATTTTTAATTTAAATCTGAATATAAAATTGAAAAATAAAGAAATAATCAATTAAAATAGCAAATAATATATATAAAATATATAAATTACTTACCCTAAGATTTTGTTTCGCCATCGCCTTCTAAGCCTTCTCCTCCTTTCAGATTACAGTTCATTGTACTTATACAACTTTCGCAAAAATATTACTTAATTCAATGGTTCTCTGTAACATAAAAATACAAGAAAAAATTATAGCAGTGCTCAAAATATTTAATGTTTAGAATTTATATTAAACAACAATTAATTAATTCTACTCAAAGAACATTTTAGAAATCTTATAAAAATATTATTTGAATTTTAATTCGAATTGCGATAAATGTATCGCAATTTGGCTAATTATATACATTACTAATAATAAACAATACTACTTTACGTTAATTGTGTAAAAAGCTATGTCAGTATATAATAACTTAATCGCTTTACTTAAAAGAAATTATTAAATTATATTTATTTAAAAAATAAAATTTACTTTTATTTTAATCAAAAATATTTATATACATTATATTATAACATATTTAATTATTATTTTCTTCTAAATTTTTGTATCATGAAAGAAATGAAATAATATAATTTTAATAAATAAAAAAAAATTAAATTAAATTGTCACAAAAATATGGTAATTTAGTACTATTTTTTCTTAATTTGCAATTCTTGTTTTATTGTTCTCAAACTATGAGAAATCGGAAAAGTAGTGAGATAATAAATTGCTTTCTATTTTTCGCGATCGTACATATACAATACATATTTCTAAAAACAAGACAAATTTTATTTTTCAAGATTTTAATGAATTTAATAATCCTGCCTAAAGATTTAAATCATTTAAATTTTAATAAAGGAGAAATTAATTTTTCTTTCTTAAATTTTATCTTACAAATAAAAATATTATCTCATTCTAGCAGCTTTAGATAGATCGTAAAGATAGCATTTGCTAAACAATCACTGCTAATAATATTTCGTTCTAGCTCACAAGAGAGGACCAAGGCTGCTTTACAGCAGCGTGTATAGCCTTACATAACTAGTATATATTTATAAACAATATCCATCTACCTCGGCAAGAGCTCAGCGCCATCCGCGAAGCAGTCTGCAATTGATTTCAATTAAATTCGTCTCACGCGCAGGTAATCTCCTGGACGACGACTTCTTATTCTCACGTCCGTCGATCTTGCTGCGCAAGAAGCCGTACTTCGATCTCCTGGAACCATCACCGATGGCACCCATCAGTGCGTTTACTAGGGACCCATGGTGGTACCCAAGCTACGCGCCCTATATTCCGAGTTACGCTCAATACCGCACACCGTTCTTTCTGAGGGACAGTTATCTCAGTCCAATTAAACGTAGCTATCTATGGAGCCGACATCCTTTCAGGCCTTTCGGTATGTATGACAGATTTAGCCCTTTGATTTAAGCAACGTATCGTTCGTATTCTTTTTCAAGCTGATCAAAGATCAATGCCAACTCAATTTTAATTATTAGACTGATAAATCAATAACAATAATACATTTATTAAATTATATTCAATAGTAATAATGAATTTATTTCAAATATAAAAATGTACGCTCGATAAATGCACGCACGATTGCACAAGTTCACATGACGTGAGTAGCATTGGTCATTGACAAATACTGACTACAGATGCTATTAAAAGATATCGAAGCATTGCAAAATTTCCGCTAGATCACCACGATATATTTATTAATATTTTATGCGTTAAATATAACATGTGTGTACTTTTTCCCCACCAAAAAATGCAGACATGTAAAATATTTAAATAATTTCTTGATAAATAATTTTTTTGTAGACCTGTAGTCAGTAATTGCAATATATGTATTTGCGATTACTTATTTTTTAATTTTCTTAAAAAGACATTTGTAATCGCAAATACACATTTCTAGATCTAGACTACTATCACAAAATGTTTATAGAAAAAATATTATTATAATATTATTAAGATGCGAAAAAGCTAGTATTACAATTTCTCAACTTTTCACAAATTTTGTATAATTTTCATCAAATAGCAAAGTATAGTAGTCTAGAATATAATGCACTTTTTTAAAATATGCACTTTTTTAATATGCATTATTAAATTACAGTTTAAACACAGTCTTACGAAGACGAGATATTTTTTGCACAGGAAATGTTTTTCGTTTTCATTCGTTTTCGTAATATACGTGAGCTATTGGAACTCATACTCATTGTCAGCCGTCTATCTTTTTACCAGTAGAATAGCCATCTCGGTATGGATTTTGATAATTTTTTACACTTATCAAAATCATTAGACATTTAGGAAAGCGTTTCTACTGGCGAAAACTTTTCTTTCGATTATACTTTAATTATAGAATCAATAAATTTTCTTCTAAAATTCAAGAAAAATATAAAATTTTTTTTCAACGCAAAACGATTGAATGTATAAAACTTAAATGGAATTTAAAAAATTAAAAAATTATGGCGATTGTCATTTAAAAATCATAATCGATATATATATATATATATAGACACCTAATACATATGTACAATAATAAATATCTCAAAAATTGAGTCGGCTGGTTCGAGCATGAATTAAGTGATAGAAGTCATCGCCAGTCGTAACGTCGGAAAACAGGTCAGAATATTCTTTCACTTGTCACCTCGATCAAAAATATAAACCGTCGCGACCATATGGAGATATTTGGCACATCGGCGATATTGCTAGTGATTTTGGCACAGACATAAAGCCGTGCCATCAGCTTCGTCGAACTGTAAAATTGAGAACAGTTGGTGCCAAAAACTGGCAAAGTCAACATTTCGGGCAACTTTGTTTTTTGAACGCGTTCCACATTTTCCAACAGACTGCGAAATTCTTGCTTAATTAGCCAAGTAGTTGCTTTTCTTTAGAAAGTGAACGTTATATAATTTTTTTACAAACTGAATAACATAAAAGTCCTAAGCAAAATCTAAAAAAAATTTTCGAAAGGTGCCTTAACATTGTAAATATCCTTCAGACACCTTTTAGACGCGTTTTTTTATTTTTGTCCTGTTTGAAATCTCACCAACGACAAGTGATTAACGACAGACTCGACTCTATCGACTTGAAACCAAGAATATCCGATGCAGATTTAATATAATAAGATCGATGCTACAGCAAACGAATGTCTATCATTTCAGGAGCGTTATACTACTATTATTCGCAGCCAGTTCCACGATTTCACTTTACCAGCCCGTGGTATAATAAACGTACCACGTATTAAAAAAAGTGAGCGATAAGAGATTAAAGTGGTCGAAGTGTTGAATCCCTCACACCCTATTTACTCGTTTAATAAGTCAAACAATCAATAATCTCAATCAGAATCGGCGGGGGTAGTGGCATCACGATACACTCCAAAAACGATCCTCGTTTGCGCCACATTAAAGCGTATTACACTGGCTAATTAACATGCAAGTAGAACGTAACAAATAAGTGATCAGCGTATATTGTATATCGTTAATAGGCCCGTGTTACGACGGCTGTTTGAATAAGAGAGAATTCGGGCCTTTTAACCCTTGGGCTACCACGCGTGTTTGTTCATTTTTGTAAATCTTTATTGTATCAATAGTCCTATCAAGAAATGCGTTCCTCCTCTCGCGTAACCCCGATTACACTCGTATATTAACTCGACTATTTTTCCCAAATGTTTTCCTCAGAATGCATCTTAAGAATGTTCCCTAATCCTTGTGGTAACTATTAATTACCGAGCCATTACTCCGGCTGAGGAGTCGCTGACAGAATCTCAAACATGCGGTATGTGCCCGATAATATCTATCTGTCTCAGTGGTGAAATAGTTGTTTGTACAGTGATTAAAAAAAATCTCTGTTATGATGCAAATTAAGATCGCTGCATGATATACATTCGCCACATTTATTTGTTGTTAACACTAGAAGAGTTTTAACCCTAGCTATAACACACTGAGATCTCAGAAACCCCAATGCAATTTGCTAAATCGAGATTTCTTCATGTTTCTGAATTCTTCTTTTTCTTTGAACTTATATATCTCGAAGCTCCTTAAGTCTATCGACTTTTAAATACAATGAACTTATTCCTTAATTAATTCTCTATCAATTAAAAAAAAATTAATTGAAATATGTTCATTTTATGGAAGTTACGGTAACAAATATAGAATATCCGAGGAACCCGAGTGTGTATATAAGAATAAAAAAAAGTGTGTGAATAGCTACGGTTAAGTTTACTTCTCAGTACCGAAGTAATTATAAGTTGTTAAACATTAAATCTGTTTGCGTTGTTTGAAATCCTCAAAAATGTTTGCACTTAAAATGAGATAAATATATAAATTTGAATATTAAAAAAAGAGAAAGCAAAGATACTAAGTGCAAAAAGTACAAACAGCACGAACAGACCTATTTTTTCAAATAACTAGAAACAAGAAATTTTTTTTATTAAATTTCAGTGAATGTGCTATCGATGAAAGAAATAAGTATTCGCATATCTATTATTAATTTTACAAATTTACTTATCTTGCTATTAAAATATAAATATAAGAAAGTCAATATGACACAATTTCTTAACATAACGGAAGCTAATATATCTTCTAGTGTTAAAATCAACGTGTCACTCGCGATTATTAGCATTCGCAAACCATATAGCACTCACCGCTTGTGGGATCGATGTTTAGTATAAAGATGAATCGTTCTTGGCTGTCCTCGAAGACAGGAACGGCAGTCCAGAAGCGTCGTAGCCGAAGGGTTTTGTTAACGAAACATCATCCTAATTCCTCACGTAATCGGTAGCATAATCATCTAATCATAAAGTTGTTTTACAATCAACATCTATCACGACGGTCTGTACATGATTTGAGAGCCTACACTGAGAGAAAAATGCATTAAATTTTAATAAATATTTATTCAAATATAGTGCCAATTGAACATTTATTAAATGTAAATATATATTTATTTGGTACAAACTATTGATTTGATTTATCTATTATTATATTTTATTTAACAAATATTTATTTTCCGTAAATAAATAAATGTTGTATTAGTACTATATTCAAACAATTATTTATTAAAATTTAGTATATTTTTCTCTCAGTGTATATTTTACGAACTATTATTTTAATCTTTACTTTTTTTCATGTACGTATATTTTCAGTTGACTAATGTGTATATATGTATTTTGAGTTTTTCCAGTAAGAGACATTTGTGTATCGAATACTTATGTCCGAATACCCCCAGACAAGTACTAGGGGGCCTCGTCCACGGTGTAATATTTCTGTTCGATGTAGTATCAGCTAATATATTATATGTCATGTAGAATAGTTTGAATTATAATTTGCCAGATTAGCTTGCTGTATTGAATTTAGATCCATATTTAGCGATTAATATTAATGTAGTGTCTTAATGTGTTTATATGGTATTTATAAATGACTAACTGCCACCAGAATAGTTGAAACATTACACCGCATACGAGGACGTGTAAAAACCTGAGTTTTTTAATGTTTGTACATAAAAATTCTATGAAATCGTTCTGCTAAATTTTCTGAAGATTTCTACAGGAGAATGTATAACGCATGTATAATTTAAAAATTAATTGAAGCATGGCAAATGTCAAATTTTCGATTTCTAAAAATTTCGCATTGATCTTAATGTCGCATATCATTTTAATTTGTATACTTCCTCCAGTCGAAATCTCGAAATAAGATCTTATGGAAAAATAATATGTATAAATCAAGAATTGAGCTTATCTCGACCTCTCGTATTGCGACAATGATTTGTGATTTCTCAAATATTATCTTTCTCATTTAAATATTTTTCCATAAGTGCACGTGATTGTTGTTCCTTCTTTTTATATTTGATCAACACATTCTTCTTTTTGCAGCTCACGCTTACTGATGACTGCTTGGTGCCACACGGAAAGCGTGAAACAAAAAAACGACGAAAAAAGAACAAAATAGTACCTGAAAAAGGTCAACCAAAAAAAGAAAGAAAAATTACATCATGTCCCAAAAGAATTTTGATGTCTCTATCATAGTGCATATTTTCACGAAATTTTATTTATTTATTAACTTTTCCCACATCATATGATTTATTGTACCTTTCATCCATAATCTGAAATAAAATAAACACTGCCAAAATTTTATTACAGAACGGTCAGTTTACCCAATCTTATTTTCCTTCCAGGAATAATTATAAAACTATGACAATTTATAATTCATTATTAATTTCGACAAATTAAAATAACTATAAAATATATAATTCGATTTAATAACAATTTGAAAGTATATTTCGGTCGATTATTTCTAAATTAGTAATGTGATATCTGTAAAAATGAAAAAAATTCTTAGATTTTTAACAATTTTGGCATCAAAAAGTTTAACATCTTAGAAATAAAAAACGCTACGAATTAATTCCAACACCTAATATATACATCGAGAAAAAACATCAAATATTATCAAGAAAAAAAATTTAAAGGAACAAATAAATCTAAAGGACAGTTACCTAAAATAAAGAACTGTCTTTTACAATAAAGAACATATAGTCACCATATATATTGTACATATCTAAAAATCAACTTGCTACGCAAAAGGTTTCTTGCCTTCTTACTAAAGAGCCAGGGAAGAATAAGCTGAAAGAAAGGTTTGTACAACAATATGCATATTTATTATCTGAAAGTTTTACATCTCTAGGATGCCATTGCATAGCGTGTTCCGTTATCGGCGATTCGAACGATGTAACAATCCACGATAGTCACAAGCTCCTCCCTTTCATTTTATTATTTATTTAGTAAAATATCGTCGAATCGCGACCGGTCAACCCTTTACAAATATAATATCTGTATATAATATATGAATCTCGGACGAAAAGAACGCATATCAAGGAATCACAACCACTCCTTTGACTTAATTAATCTTGCGTTTTTTTGGGGGGGACTAGGGGAGAAACGCAGGGAAGGAAGAGTGGAAAGGACATCTTTCGTTTCGTCGGCTCCAATTCTAAAACAAAAATTTGCACTGCATCTCTCTCGTACCTCGAATAATAAATACTTTATCAAGCGCTATCCAACGTTAAATAGCAATCAAATAATGAACAACCATTGAGTAAAATATAATATAACATAATAATGTGAGAACCAATTGTGGCGTCGTTGCCACGAAAAGGCCCGTTACGTTTGATTGATCTCTGCTTGTGGGTGTGAGTTTTCAGTTTTGATGTACGGTCTTCGTGTTTCCAGATCGTCTTCGCAATCATAATAACTCGCACGATACAATCTCATTAATCGTCAGTCTATATTTAATCGGTGACAAACGCGTTTTACCTCGTAAATTTCGATTTGTATACATCATGTTTATTGGTGCAGTATTCATAAATATTTTGCCAATAGTAAATATTAAATCTCTAGAAAACACATTTGCGCATTTATTGGAGAACAAAAATCTTCGCTATGATTATAATCTCTCAAATGTCATTATTTAATCGATTGTTGCTTCCGGAAATGCAAATTTTATTCTTCGTATATAATGTGATTTATAAGACTTCTCTACAGATTTCATAATGCAATATTTTAATAATAATATTCTTTGAAATCAGAATAATATTCTTAGAAATTAAAAAGTCGAAACGCACTTTCTTTCCGATAGAAGTGACTTTTATTGCGCAGATGATCGCAAATAATAATACATATCACTTATAGAACAAAAGCGCAGCAAGGAAACGTTAAGTAATGCATTATTTTAAAAGTCCATAAAATAATCGTATTACTGCAGCGATTTCAACAGTAATGAATAGAAATTACATGAAATTTGAGATCAATAAAAAAAAGAAAACAAAAAACTGGATAAACATATTCTATAAATGTTTAAATAAATGCACCAAACGTTTAAATGCGGTGTGCCGTCGAAGGTTTTCCTGTTCAAAAATTAATAAGCTTTATTCTATCACATGAATATCTCTTATGTCTAAATAGCATAAACATATATAACAAGTGCAAAATTTCAACTCATCAAAATCTAAATACATAAGATCCACCTGTAATATCACTAACGAAATGTTTGCGCAATTTGAAATAATCTTTACAATATGCGATAAATCTTCCATAAATTGATAACAATGCGTATTTGCATTCATGTTTGCTCTCATCGCGAGAATAAAAAGCTGAAATTCTGCATACATGCGACATGTCCTCATTTTTCTCTTCTTCACGATTTCCTTCCTTCTAGTATCTTTCGAATAAAGGCGTAAGTATATTTATCTTAAAAATACTAGCTCTCTGTGTTTCTCTCCGGATTTATCGCCCGAGAATAAACAACCTAATTCGTCTACGACATATCTCTGGAACGTGCAGTCACTATCACGCTCGGAATACTGCACATGACGATATAATTAAATTTGTAATAGGTAATGGTTTAAGAGAAAAAATAAATGGTCAAAAATATATATATATGTATATATATATATATATATCTATCTATCTATATACACGCGCATCTCTCACGAAACGATGATATTTAAATTAGCTGCTAAAGCAATGATAAAAATACTATTAAAAATAAAAATAATATTAATAATATATAATAACAGCGAGTCTCATAATTACACTCAACATCAACAGTGGAAGCAATAAATACAAATGAGAATGATGAAATGCTTTTCAAAGAGCACTAGCTTTTCACAAGGGATCACTTCGTTCATGGTAGATAATTGCCATAATTGCTGTAAAATTCTGAGAGCAATCCCTTCGTCAAGTACGATGATAATCGAAACTTGATTCACCGCGAATTATTTATATTTCTTATCACGTTAAAATGCAATTGAAAGAGAAGTAAATCTTACACTTTTTTTTAGGTTTATGTTTATCAGATTAGGTTAATTCTGTATCTCGGCGTCTTCGTGCTGAAACACATGAAAATCAAAGGCTAGATCAAATACACAGCATCCGAGAAACTCGACGTTTTCGACAAGCGCATCGGCTATAAAGCATTAAGAATTTTCGCAAGCCCATGTGTCCGAGTAATTCCATTAAATATGTATCTTTGAACCATAAATCAAGTTCACTTAAATCGTGTTTGCCCCGAAGTGCGTGTACATGTGTTGGAAACGTCGCATGCTAAGTATTACATCTAAATCATCGGTGAATCATTGTACAAACTTAAATATATCGAGCAACGTTCTACATTTCGCTTCCTTCCATTCTCCTTTCGTTTCTTTCTTTTTTTCTTTTCTTTTTCTTTTTTTCTGTTTAACTGATAATCGTGGGAAATAGACTCGTAATAATGCACATAAGTGGTCAGCTAGTGTGATTAAGTAAGCTTTGACAAGCATAAAGCAGATTTACCTAGCATGATAGCCTCCATTAAGGATAATCGCGTTTGTTGTGCAGGTTCGGTTGAAGGCTGTCATTTCTTTTTCGCTGGATTCCTTTGTGGTGTAGATGGTCTACCTGCTTGACCCGTGTTCATTCCTCCATATTGGTATTTTGCCTTCTTCTCTGATGGTTTCAAGATCTGCAAAAAGATGCGAGACACGGCACGGTAAACTTGGATGTTGCATCAATGACATTAAAGAGAAATAAAAGGAAAATTCTCTCGTCAATTACCTGAAAACTGCACATCAACGTTTCGTCAACGCTCATCATTCCGCCGGCATTATCAAATTCGCCACAGTAATTTGGCGCAGAGAAAAGTGTGACGAGTTGTCGCTTGGCGAAAAATTCATAGCCATCCTCGACCACTTGATGTGCCCTGCATATGAGATCCATGTCGTGACGATTCAGGAATTTCGACACGACATCTGGACCGAATGTGAATGAGACTCCTCTATCGTTTTCGCCCCAACCCTAGAACATTAATATGCGATTAGAGAAATCCTTACATTAATCTAATCAGTGCATTGAGATTTGCTCATATAAAAGCATCTCACCTGAACATCTTTATCAGGATCGGACCATAAAAGATCACAGAGGAGACCGGTATCAGGTACATCAGTTGGACGCATGATTCTTCTGATTTGCTCCATTCCCTAAACAAGACAAAGTATGAATATATATTTATTGCACTTTTACCCAATTGAATAAGTTTTTTTTTATACGAGAAAAGAATCTCTCTAGCTCACCTGCAGATCAGGACTGAGCCCGCCATGGCAACAGAAGATTTTTTCATCGATAATCGCGGCGATCGGCAAGCAGTTAAAGCAGTCTGTGAAGGTCTTCCAAAGCTTGATGTTATATCGCCGCTTGCACTCGTCATAAAAGCCATATATCCTGTTTATGCTGGCGCATTCATGATTGCCGCGCAGCAGGAAGAAATTCTCTGGATATTTGATTTTGTATGCCAACAACAAGCATATCGTCTCCAAGGATTGCTTCCCTCGGTCAACGTAATCGCCCAGGAACAGATAGTTCGCCTCGGGCGGAAAGCCGCCGTACTCAAAGAGCCGCAGCAGATCGGTATATTGGCCGTGTATGTCGCCGCAGATTTTAAGCGGCGCCTCCAATTCCAATAGGATCGGCTGTTGCAGGAAAATTTCCCGCGACTTCAGACAGAGGCCACGTACCTCGGCCTCCGTCATGATAACGGTTTTGCCCGGTCGACATCCTCTGACTGTGTACCCAGAAATGTTGGCGGTTAATTACGTTATTTTATTCGAGATTGCAACGATCCTTCATTAGTGCAGTGAATTACTCTGTTAGGTACTTGTTCAGAAAAATAATAGTAAAATAAATAAAAGCACGAACTTGTTACATTTATTGTCAACACGAATTTACAGCTGATTTCAATCTCCTTTTAAAAGCTTTTACCTCGAGATAAGAGTCTATCTATAACGTAAGAATAGGCAATCTATCTCTGGAAAAAAAATCAATAATGCCATTGTCATGTATAATTAACGCCATACTTATATCACATTACTTATACCGTTACGCACGTATTGCTTCTGGAATTACTCGAGCGTGATACACCAATAATACATCATTATCCCGTCAATTTACCACGAGTCTCTATTGAGACTCGTTGCCTTCGAGTACCCGTTGCCTTCGACTCACCGTACGTCGTTACGCACGGTTATGCAATTCTTCGATTCGCGTCGAGTAGAGAACAATAGAGAAACACGGTCGGCTGTATCGACATTCTTGTTACTAACACCGGTGCAGTCGAATCGATAACGCCTAATGAGGCATTCCCCATTTCTGTCCACCGCACTAATGAGGGATGGTCATGATACTCCTTCTTACAGGTACACCGAGCATAACTCTACTTTGGGACATGGAAGATGATTAAGTTCTGCCGGTATTAGCCGTCTCAATAAATAGGGGTGATACACGATTACAGATTACGGTGAGGCCAGATCATCTTTGCCTATTCTCGAGCACTTTGCACATGGGTACAATCACGGTACTTCCGGCGTGGTCTACGGTGGTATCGCATCGATATTATAATAGCGTCAAAGGCGTGAAATTACTGATAAGCTCGTTGGATAATGGATATGTCTCGGGAGTGTGCGAGCCTCTCTCTCGACGAGAGAGAAAGGGAGAGAGCTATTTTCGACACGGGTTGTACGATTCAACATTATGGAAACCTAAAGTTACGGTACCACTCAACTATTGGATTCTGGATCATAATTGGATCTATAACGCTCTGGGTGATTCAATTTCCCTCAAGTTCCTAATTTCTAGCCTAGCTCAATCTTTCGCACGATCACAATGCCACGTAGAGTAAATACATCAGTGAATAGATCCATGCATATCTCTACGTATGAAATAACACGACTGTATTCTTACTAATTAAATTAATAAACAATTAATATATTTACTAATTAAATTAGTAAAAATATTAATTGTTTGTACAATTATAAGTTAAAACGATAATTTTCTGCAAACAACCGATGATTTTAAAGAATTTATCTGAATTTAAATATTATATTTTTTTTTTCATAGCAACATTAAACTTTTATATTTAAAATGCGACAAGAATAATTTAGTTCAGTAAAAAAAAAAGTTGAATTATATCAGGTCTACGTATTCTCACGATAAACGTATCACAGTAAATAAATTCACTAGCGCATTTAGTCTTCAACATTTGATAAAAGTGCCGAATATCTTTAGATGACGTCATTCGACATTCAAAGCGTTAATAAGCGGCGAAGGCAAAGGGAACAGGTGATTTAACCGACATCCAGTGCAGATCATCTCTCTTTATGACGCTATGGATGTGTCGTCGAATCGTTATTTATAGGCATAAAAGGGAATTCACGGTGCGGCTGAACTAGTCTGATACTGGCTATCGGAAAACTGCATATTAGCAAGGTCACGGTATAGAGCGAAGATGCAGAGATTCCATTACCCGGCAGAGAAGCTATTGTCATTTTGCTATTACATGGCAGGCATATTCCAGGCGAAACGCTGGAAATGTCACATTGCACCACCGCGTAGTCATATACATAGTCGGATGCTTAAAATAAGTGCTTAAAATAAGCCAAAATGAAAACAGATTTCTTCAGAGATCTAATCCTTTATAGACGATGCGAACATCTCGTCGCGTATGGCTCGAGTTAATAATTTATGTAAAAATTTAATTACAAGAAAAACTCGATATTTATATATGTTCCAAAATTTATCCTTAAAACGGATCTACTCGAATTGAATTTTTGGAGGATTTCTTTATAGCTCTGTCAGCCTTCTTTTCAACGTAAAATTTCAATAACTTTATATAAATAAATAAAATCGATCCTGCAAGATAGAGAGAATATATAGAGAAAATATATGATAAATCAGAAATAACTTGTCCCTGAAGGGGTTAAAAATAATTGTAAGGTCTGGTTAACGATGACTCTGGAGTGCGAACTTTATATCGCTTCAGGGACATGCGACGTGAACGTACTCATTACTAAATTTTCAGCATTAAATTAACTGTATCGTCACATTCGATGTGATAATCTAAACAAATTCAAACATAATAATAAACATAATAATAAATTTTTTTTAATCACAAAATTGATAAAATTTCCAGTATCACAATTATAAATCACGCATGCGCCTAAGATGAACTTCACCATGAAACACTAAGAATTTAAAATAATTTGTCCCTGAAGTAGTTAAAAATAATTCGTTGTTGTCACGTTAAACTGAAGTCTTACGTGTAGGCTTGATATTAATTAAAGCTCAGAAATATGTTCCTCGAAGTTAATAATTGCTACTTTCGAACTGTAAATAACATCAAATATATATACAATGCAATATAATTAAAATTGCTTTCTTAGCTTATAAAATATCGTTCCATAATATATATTAAGTTAAATATGATACGGCTATTAAATGCTTGCCTTAAATGTCGTGAGATACACATTTTAAATATGTATCTCCAATGTTTTCTCCAATCACAAATGCATTAACTCAACCATTAAAATTAATTAATATTAGATATGTTAAATTAAGTGTTAATCTAAACGATAATGGCATTACATCGTAAAACACAATTGATATGCGCTTACATAGATAACGATAAATTACGCTGATAAGATATTCGTTTCAATCAAAGATTATTTGAGCTAACAACAAAACCTGCATCTATATCCATAATAATTTAAAATTACAATTTTCAGATACGTTTATAACTTTAAGATTTTGCATTTTAGAGGAAATAAAAGTAGAAGAGAGGAAAATGAAAGTATTATATTCAAATAATAGTGCGAGGGAAGGAAGTATAATTAAAGCATTTTGCTACAAATTACGGATTGCACAAAAACATTTATTATACCCAGCGTGCTCTAACATTTAAGCATCTAACATCTGCAGCCATTGTTGCTCCATTTTTACGTAGATAAAGCATTTCAAACAAGAAAGCTACGAGTGCGAAGGGAAGAAAGTGATAAATCTTAAACGATAGGATAGAAATAAGTGCATCGACAGATCCAGAAATAACTTCGAGTGGTTCGAGAAGCGCTTGTGTGAATACTTATATTCCAAATAAGATTATATAGATATAGATATTTGTCTTTGAGTAAGAGCGTGTAGCTGTCTGAAGTCTAAGGGAGGCTTCGATAGGATCGACGACCGAAGAGCAAGCAAAAAGGATCACATTTAGATCCTGCGTATAAGGATCAGTTCTCCTTTACTTGGAAAACAAAAAATCAAAAAAGAAGAGAGGAAAAAGGAGTCGAGCGAGCAAGCACGCGACAATGAGAGGCAACAGCCCATAATTTGCAGCGCGTGGTCTAACGCTAAACGTGGCTACCTGAATGTCACTTGAATCATTCTCATATCATCCTCTTTATGTTAGAATGATAACTTTTAAGGCATACGATCTACTCGTTTCTACGAGAACTTTAATATTATTGCAGCTTTAAACACAACGTCTAAACATAAATTGCTTTCCACTTATCACGGTAAGTGGACTTCTATAGAGTCGGCTCTGCTTTCCATTTAATTTGTGTCGGTGACTCGAGTCTGCCTGATTTTGTTTTAGTTTCAATATAGAAAGAAAAATAAACCAACTTCTATTTATCAAATTACACGCAAGAGTGATTTTTCATGTAGTGAAATTAAATGTTATATATTTGACGTAATTATTATTCTCTAAATTTTTTTAGATGAAATCTCACTTTAAAGAAAGAAAACCGATCTTGAAAAAGAGTGACTCAATTTTTAGATTTTAAGAGAGAATATAAAATTGTAAATCAACTTACGTCTCTCTTTTACGTCTATCTAAACAAATTGTACCGTTATTTAATCAATGTATTTCTGAGTTGCTCGAGACAATGGCCGCATAAAACAGAATGTTTATTTTGCAACTGTTGGAAATTTTCTTCGCTGAGATAGGACTCCTCGAGATTTAAAAATATAACCCAATCAGCGCGAAGAAAACTTCCAACAATGGAAAATAAACATTCTTCTGATGCGATCATTATATTGAATGCATCGCTTCTTCCTCAATTTCTGATAACAGCTTTTATCGGTTATCATTTTCCAGCTCTGCATTCCAGCTGATTCAAGTTGGTCGTTAAAAAAAGTCATGTAAATGGAAAATAGAAATCGATGTAAAGACAAACATGACTTTAAAATTATAAAAATACATTATCTTATTTTTATCTCATGCTTAACAATGTGCAATTGTAATGTGGAAGCCACGCTTAGAGATAACCCGCCAAGTAAGCAGAGACATTTACATGCTATAAGGCCGCGGGAACAATAATAAAATACAAAAGTCGGGGAAGCTCGATCGAACAAACTCTTTAATAGCGAATTCTAACACTTGCATTATACTAGATTAGTGCGTATTAAAAATTTAATATTTTAAATAATAAATACTCAATAATACTAACACGTTATTTAACAGAATATATACATATATATATAATCTCATCGTCAAAGTTGATTATGCCATTGCATTTAAATACTTTATGCAAAACAGCCTTTTTATGTTCACTAGTTTAGTGCAAGTGATCGAATTTACCATAAAATTTTTAGAATGAATCTTATTCTGAAGAGTGAAATCTCACTCTCAACTCTTAATACATACGATAATTTTCCAGTCCTTATTATGACATTGATGGGTCATTTGTGTCCCAAGTTAATTTTCATTACTTTAACAAACATACAAAAATTGTTAAATAATTCTTAATATACTTCTTAATATACTTTGACATCTTTAAAAAGTATTCGCAAGATTATTTAAAAAATTCTGTATAAATAAATTCTGTATAAATGTATATTATAACAAATTACTTGATCTTAGTTTATAGAAGAAAAATACAGAACAAAAATGACTCAATCGCGTGTATTAAGAATTAAAAATTAAAAACTGAGCCACTCTTTTTCAAGACTGGCTCAATTTTCACTCTTTAAAGAGATTCGACTCCAAAGAATTTAGAGAATGCAAGATAATTCTATGTGGAGGAGTTTGTCGTTTCCTGTTGTTGCTGTAATGTAGTGGTGGTGATGGTGGCTGGTTATTGTTGTGTAGTAGCTGCGTACCGACAAAGTCCGACGAGAAAATATCTTTTAGCTTGGCTTTCTTCTGAACCTGGTCTTTCTGCGTGTGGTATACTTTACCGCACAAGGGGGTTCCCGCATTCGCGTAGCATGAGAGAGAGAACAAACAAAAAGAGAGAGATTTGTTTCTTCTTTTTTTCTGCGGCTAAAGAGAACGGAGGGATAAAAGATCGCGCGATGGTCAGCGGCGCAGGGCGAAGGGGGTGATGCGGTGGCGGTTTGCGCGGAGGGAGGGGGTGGGCTCTTTAAGTCGCGAGAAGTAGATGGAGTTATATCGTAGTGTGAGAAAACGAACGCGACCAAGACAACAAGATAGAAATAGAGATAGAGATAGAGATAGAGAGAAAGAGAGAGAGGGAGAGAGAGAGAGAGAGAGAGTGAAAAAGATGAAAAAATAGACATAGTTCGGAAGGAGATCGAAAGAGAGAAAGAGGAAAAGAGAGGAACATCGAACGGTCTCATGAATTTTTTTTTATGTATCTCAATTTATGTATCGCAACGGCGATGACCGCGAAAGTTTGGGCAAGATCGATATCCTCCCTACGTCTTTTGATCGGATCGACAGGGAAGTCGCGCGCGGCGAGGAAGGACGCGCGGTCGGAATACCGCGTCACGGCTCCCGCGCGATACGCACTCTCGGAGAGCGAGGGAGACGGAGCGAGAGGGCGAACGAAAGAGGGCCGCGACGCGGTTCGGATTCGGATTCGGGACTGTCGTGCGACGATCGCGAGAACAAGAGTTGGAGCATACGTGCATTCGACGCGCGGGAACGTGGGACGTGAGCGCGTCGCGTTCCAATCGCGACAAATTCGAGCGTTCGATTTGCGTCGCGCATCGCGTTGTGTCGCATCCGTACCCGGGTCCCGGCTGCGCCGCAGTGAATTTCCGTCGATCGCGCGCGTGGAAACACGCTCGCGATGTACACGGCGACACGCGCGCGGCGGCAAAACGATGCGCGTCGTACACGCGTATTTCAACACGTCAGCCGTCCCGTCGCAATCACGTACCTTCCAACAATCTCTGTATCAAGTTGTCGATATTCAAGTCGACATCCGCCATTTTTTCCTGCCACTGACTGACTGGCCCGATGTTCGCGGACTGGCTCGTACTCGCCTGGCGCGCGCATTTGCACCGCCACGACGCGAGACGCAACACCGGCGCGTCCTAATACGTGTGCGTGCCGTTATCGACTACAGATTCTCGCCCGGGGCGAACGACGAACGATCCTCCGACTTCCACGTCGAACGTTGATGAGACACTCGAACAGACTCGAATACTCGATGATTCGATTACGTCGATGCGTACTAGCTGAACTGAGATGGTCGGCCGACGTCCAAAGTCCCGGACATCATGCGAAGGAATAGCAATAGCGATAAGACGATTTTAACCTATCAGAAACTGTATATTCCAATGTATTTGATTTGTGATAGGTTGAAATCGTGTTATTTCTATCGTGTCTTATTGTGTCTGGGGCTTGATAGAATCCGTTATAGGGACCACTATACGTGCCGCTCGCTAATTGGCTGTTCGTGAGTGTTGACTAAGCGGATTGGTCGTTGCATTTGTCCAACAAAAGGACCGATTATTTCGAACTAACACGATTTGGTTATTTGATGAACTTTGATTTTTCAAATTTATTAAGATTTCAAATTTACAAAATATTGTATTGTTCTAATTATTACTTTCATAAATAATTAATGTTTTATATTGAATGAAATTATTGAATGATATTAAATGAAAATGATGCTCGTGTATAAAGCAAAAAAAGTGTTAAAAGATCAGGCCCTGCACACAACAGAAAGAATAAGGAATTATGCCCGTATTCATAGTCAGGCTTTATATTTAAGACTTCCTTAAATTTATCTTCAGATACTCTACGAATTATTTATTGGCTACTAAGCATCTAAAGATAAATTTAAGAAAGCCTTAAGTACAAGGTCTGACTATGAATACAGGCATAAGGCTGCATTTTCATACTGATGATTCGAGCGTCAAAACAGGTCACGAATACCAAACATCAATTTTGATCACGTGATCTGTTTTAACACTAAAAATAAGCGTCGAGCGTCAGCATAAAAAAGCAGCCTTAGGAATAAACGATTTCAATCTATCAGAAACCGTATATTCCGATGTATCCGATAAGTTAAAATCGTTTATTCTTTATTCCTAATTTCTTATTTCTTCTATTATGTGTATTTTCCTAATCTTTAAACGATGGAATCTTTCTTATGTACATTTTTTCTTGTATTTTTTTATCAGTTCAATCATTTGAAAAGTCAATTTATTTCAAACTGATCTTATGAGGACATATCGAAAATCGCATTAAAAATAGCAATTTGTCAAAATCTGAACTTTGACAAAATCTGAAACTTTCGTAATTTTCAATATTTTCCTATTAGTTTAATTTGAAATTAATGTTTGCAAATAATTCAACACATCAAAAAAATAAAAAAAAAACATGCATAAGAAAGATTCTATTGTTTTGGTCAAAATTGATTTATTTTATTCATTCTTCAGAACATTGAGTAAAAAGTAAAATAGCCAATTTTTTAGTCTAAGCAATGGAATCCTTACGGTTTTTTCTTTTTTCGTATCTTTTACGCTGAATTATTTGCAAATTGACACTGCAGGAAAATATTAAAAATTGCAAAGATCAGATTTCGACGAAATTGTGTTACTTTTAATGCGATTTTCCATCAGATCTATAAACTATGAAATAAAAATTTGCAAATGATACATGTCAATAAATATAAGAAAACGTGAAACATCAGAAAGATTCCATCATTTAGGCCAAAATTTGGTAATTTTATGCATACTCCTTAATTTTGCATTATATATTTGAATTATAATTTCATCATAATTTTTTAAATATCTCTCATCTTTGTTTTGCAATAATTTATTTATATTATTATTAGCTAAATTATTATATCACTTCATTTAAAATCATTATATGATAGTTGTGTAAAAAATGAATTTAAATAGCATCCTATATGTAAACAGATTGTCATGTAAAATATTTTGTATATAAGTAATATATTCGTTCAAATACAAATTTGAAAAAGAATAAACTGATAGTTTAACCATACTTTCGATGATAATCCGGTGATGGATCTGTGTAATCTTGTTGAAGATTAAAGAGTATAGCGTTGTTCTTTTGCAAATATTGCAGAAAATCGTGAAAATGCGACAGCAACAATTGTATACTCTTCTCGTCTAAGGGCGTATAGGAGAGCATACCGCCGAGTCGTACTACAAAAATTAAAATTGTCATTTAAATAATGTCAGTTAAAAACAGCAAACATTTTATAGAATATGTTTTACCGAATAGTCTAAGGAGATGGAACGCTCCGTATAACTGACTTGGCAATGCTTCCGGATTGTCATTCATTATCTGTATAAACTGCGGTCGTTCCCATTTATACAATAGTTGAAGGCCCAATGTGTTATTAAAATATTCCCGAATACCTTTCGTTATTTCCAGCGTACTTTCTCTGAAATAGAAGTAATGCTTCAACTGCAATTATAGTTTTTTGTTCCCCTTTTGCTCTCTTTGTCTGTAATCTTTTTTTATCCAGTGTAAGTTTTTTACTGTTTTTTTTTTCAGAAAATGTAAAAAGTCATTTCATTACTTTTTGACATTCTTATATTATCAAATAATTTTTTTAACTCAAATGTTAAAACGTTTATTTTATAAAAATTAAACTTTGATTTAAAAAATAAAAAATTTGAGAGTAAAATTTTAAATATGTCAAAAATGTTCAGATTATAAACAGATAATTATCATAACATGTTGTGCACATATACATATATAAAATATAATTTACAATCTTCATTATTCAATAGAATAATAAGAATCGTTGACTTTCAGTTGCATTATACCTAATGTCATTAGATTTCCCTGATGATTTTGTCTCTACGTAATCATCTAGAATTTTGTCGACTGTATTTTGTACAGGTAATGCAGGTAATTTGTGATGCTTCAGTATTATTTCGGATTCGTCTATTAGCACAAACTTCAATTCTTCAGGTAACTTGATTTTAACCTCTATTTTCGTAAGATATTCTTCAGTCTCGCCAGATGGCTCTAGCCGACTAAAAAAAAATTCTTTTAATAAACTGCAATTAACAATTGTAAAAAGACAGATGTTAAATAACAAACCTGCGTTTTTTACGTGGTGGTTCAGACACAGACTCGTGAGAAGATGAAGGCATTACTGAACTACTTGTACCCTTACTAAAACGGCTCATACTCTTATCAGCGACAGGAGTGCTTGATCTACTATCAGTATCTTTTTCTCGACCTCCTTCACTCCTTCGACCTTGTGTTTTAGTCGTTGTATTTCCCTTTTTGTTCTTCTGAGCAGATTGCTGATTTGAGTGCGCTCTCTGGACTTCTCTTTGTTTCTGTACATTTGCCTCATTATATTTGAGTACTCTACTCTCAGGAACCCATTCATCCCAGCTATTTTTTTCAAATATATAATTCAGTATATGATTCAACTTCATTAGCCCAACAAAAACGTTATATAAATAAATCCTACATATAGTTCACGCACACATATGTGTAAAAATCTTACTTTTTATTCCAACCAGCATAATGAATAAGATATTTAACTTGCTTCTCCTTGGTAATAGACGACTTCAAACACTTGGCTTCATAAATCAATGGTCCATGAAAGCACAGAACTTTTTCTCCTAATATACAAATCATAATATTAATTCAATTCACATAAAATCAAAAATACAAAAAAAGTTCAACAATTAATCTTCACTACAAAAAGAATAAGAAACTATACCTTCTTGAAATTTACATTTCGGTGGCATTCTTGTATCTTGTATGACGCTTATTGGAATCACTTTACCTTATCAATTGTATATTAAATCAGGCAATAAACAACGACAAAAAATAATTAACTTTTACGAAACATTTTCAAAATAACATTCATTTTTCGACGGTCGAATATTTGGTGTTTACGTCAATTGTGTTCTGTGCGTTCTATGCACAACATCTTCTGACCTTAAGGCCGCAGCACAGACTTTCGCATAATGCATAATGCATAAGCGAATCAACTAATTAGAATCTTTCCTTTCCTCTCATTCCATGAAAAAAGAAAAATTTCAATTGGTTGATTCCTTTATGCACTATGCATTATGCATGAGTCTGTACTGCGGCCATTAGGATATATTCACACAATTTGCATATTATTCAATTTTACGTGCGTCTATATAAAAGAAATGCGATTGGATAACTTTTTTTATGCATACGTTTATGCGGCTATAGTTGCAAGTTGTGTGAGTATACCCTTAAATAGGGAGAGCATAGACTCTTACATAACACGTGCATAAGAAAATGTACCAATCAAAGTCCTCCATTTCCTTCCTTTTACGTCTCAGGGAGGCTCGGTTCGCCAGTTTCGAACTAACCTAACTTGCATAGCCGTGTAAACGATGTGTAAAGAAAATTATTCAATCACATTTTACGAGCGTCTTTACAGAAGAAATGCGATTGGATAATTTTTTTTTGCATACGTTTATGCGGCTATGCAAGTTGTGTGGATATACCCTAAATCCTCAGAGCTGTCGATTGCGTTTCAGGCCGGGTTCACACCTTGACGGAAAAACGAAAAGCGGAAAAGCGGAAGCCAATCGAAACTTGCAGTAGTAGTGCAATACATTTCGCTTGTTTGTTCTGTCTTTCCGCGAGTTCTACGAACCCGGCCTTATGCTTTACAAAAAGAAAGCAACCTTTAATAAGTGATTCTTTTTCTGTTATAGGATTTTATCTATTGGTGTTCTTTTATTTGAAAATATAGGAAAATGGGAAAAGTATTAACGGAAGTATAAAGAAAGTTACAAAAAAGAGAAGAAATTGAAAGATAAATTTTAACATAATTCTTGGTTTGTTTTTTATGTAAGTAATTCCTTTATTTTTTCACATATCTATGAAAAAATGAACAGTAATGTTTTATTTTCTTTCATCAAACATCAAAAATGGCTCGGTAAATATTCAAAATTTAAAACAATTTAAAAAAATTTTTTTCTCATTATGATTTACTTTGATTTATAAGGAAATATATGTATAACATAAAATTTGAATTTTATTTTATTTTTTTAGAGTGAAATAACACGGTACGGGAATCAACATGCGAGACAGAGGTTGCGTGATTCGAACAACCAATCGTGAGAAAGACATGGGATAGGAAAATGTGGAAGAGCGCTGATTGGCTGTTCGAATCACGCATCCTCTGTCCTGCATGCTGATTCCCTTATCGTGTGATTTCACCCTTAGGGTAAAATCACACAGTGCAGAATAGGACTCCGGAATAAAGAATGCGTCATTGAAACAATCACTCAGCGCTATTCCGTATTTGATGTTCTTGTCAACACCATTGTTCTTGTAATGAACCGTCGTATTTTGAGAGGTTAAAATAATTTGATGCTGATTGATATGATGGAATTGCATAATTTCGAGACGAATGAAACAAAATGACAAAATCTGAGTGTATAAATATAGATACCAAGATCAAAAAAACAATGATGCATTACGTGCAGTTTCAGTGTGCCTTTTTCCGTACTTTTCCATCACGCTAGTTTTGTATGCTATGTTCACATGATGCATCAAAGATGTATCCAGCATGAATATAATTTAAAACCTACTAACTTCATATTAATAATTTGTTTATTAAAATAAAATATAATTTTTCAAATTATAAAATTGCACACAAAACTTGCGTGAAAAGTACGGAATAACGCTGATTGGTTGCTTCAATGACATTCTGTATTCCGCAGATCTGTTCCGGATCATGTGATTTCACCCTTATATCATTTTCAACGCTTCATTTTTAAAAAATGGCGCATTTATCATATTTTATGATTTTGGGCGATTTGAGCGCGCTCTGTATGTGATTTTACGTATTATATAATTGGCAACCCTGGTCTGGTAGTCACTTTGTCTTGGCACGTTTTTCACGTTTTCTTGCGGCACGCTGGAATTTTGGCCACCGAACAATTATTGAGCCAATTTGATATCTGGACGTGGCTCGAGGTATAACTTAAATTTAACAGATTATTTTATGTCAAATCGATTCTCCCTTGATTCCTGCTAATCAACTATTAGCTAATCTGACTAATATTACAAAAAATATAAGTCCATAAATGCATGCAAACCCACCGATCAATACTGCACATGATGCAATATATTGCGCATGTATATCTCATCGAAATTTCGAGAAAAGCGATCTGTCGAGTCTAATAATATCGTCAATTTACTGTTTTAATTAAAAATGATACATGTATATGGAGAAAGTGTCTAATTCGACGGTTTTCCAAAATCGCTGGCGATTTGGTAATCTGAATATATTGATGAATGGAGAATAGAAATTTAAACTTTTTTTTATATAACAGTTCAGATTTTACAATATTATTCGAGAGAATAAAGCACTTGATTTTAATTTTTTATTACATCTAATATATATACATATGTATATATTTAACCTTTAAATAGATAGGTGGATTAATTAGAGCACTCCAGATTTTATTTTTAGTTATATTTTTGATAGTATAAATTTAGATGAAGAGTTAAATTTACATTATTCTTATCTTATGAGATGTAGACAATATTTTTTATTTTTCTTTTTTAGAGCAAGATTTTTAAAGTAACAATGTAAGAGAGATGTTTTGGCTACCTTCTTAAAAGGTTAAATATTCTAGAATTAAACATAATTTTATTATAATTATTTAACTATATAATTTTTATCTATTTAATATTTTTATCTATTTATAACATATACATCATGCATACATTATTTCATCTTAATTCAATCTTGGAAAGAGCTGTTTTACAAAGTTCCAGTATTTGTGGAAAATTGTGAAAATAAATATAATCAAAGATTTTTATCCATCGGGTCATTCAGAGCATCTTTTGCAAGCTAAATATTTTAACAAAATTAATTGAATAATGTCTAAATTTTTAATGAAATAAATGATTTATTTATTCTTAATGACTTGTTGCTCCATTATTATTTTATCATGCTTGCATGGACTTAGTTGATATCTAGATTCTTCATTACAGGAAGATTTTATGCATCAGAATGTCAACGTTTGTTGGGCTTATCAAAGAGATACCAGGCATCTCGGTGGATCGTTTTGATCGAGAAAACATGAATTCCTCTGTGTATTTCCTTAGCCATTGTCATATCGATCATATGTGTGGCTTGAACAATATGTTTTTTGATCACTTGAAACAGTATAATAAGTATCTTTATTGTAGTCATATTACTAAAGTTTTCTTAGAAAATAAGTATTATGAAAACTTGCGTAATGTAGAAACTTATGTAAAAGATATCGAAGTCGATAAAAAAGTTTGTATTGAATATAGAAGTAATTATAACAGCGAAGAGACTGATATTCTTTTTGTAACGTTTACTTCTGCTGGACATTGTCCTGGCTCGGTGATGTTTGTTTTTGAAAAAATGAATAAATTAATATTATATACTGGAGATTTTAGAATCAATCCAAAAGATTATCGTAAAATAAAATCACTGAATTGCAATGATTTTCCAAAAAAGTTTGATAATATATATTTAGATACAACATTTTTAGGTCATGATTTCGCTTATCTCCCAACAAGAATAGAAAGTATAAATGTAATGTGTAAAGTTGTGAAAGAATGGCTAGATGAAAGCCCAAGGAAAGTCGTTATTCTGGAATGTTCTGCTTTATATGGCTCTGAGTTTCTCTACATGAAACTGTCGGAATCTTTGAAAACACTCATTCATGTTAAGGAATGTGTATACAACAGTTATATTCGTATCCCAGAGTTGGCATGTCACGTTACAAATAATCCACTGGATGCACGTATACATGCATGTATGAGTAAATATGTATGTATGAATCGCCAGGACATATTAACTATTGTACCATCAGTAAAAAAATGGAAGGGACATGATACAAGTGTAGTTGGAGAGTGGGATAAATTTAGGGAGAAGACGTTTAATGTATGTTACTCCACGCATGCTTCTTTTGATGAACTTAAGAAATTTATACAATATTTTAAACCAAAAAAGATACATCCGTGTGTATGTCCAGAAAATGAACAAGACACAATAAATCGATTGCTAGATGAAATTAGAAGATAAGAAAAGGGCAATGTATTTCTATATTATGAAAAAAAAAGCTATGTTCTTAAGCCCAAGTTATGAATAACGGACTAAGTATCCTAATGATAATTAGGATATCAGATGATTAGACAATTCTTAAAATTAAAGAAGAAAATTAATAGATAATTTTTAATGATAATTTAATTAATACTTGAACCGCGGGTCTAAATTAACTCAATTACGATTCAAAGTAAATCTAACTTTTTATGAGGAAGGATTGTCATCATAAAAGTAAAATTACTTGTAATTAATCATGATTATGAAAAATTACAAAAATCTAAAGCTTCAAAAATACAAATTTAAATAAACAGAAACACTATCAGATGACTCAAAAATGACAACCGTAGTTTTATAGTGTTATGATTATATTAGTCTTATAATTACGTATTATTATATGACATATATTATTGTTATGCTTTAGATAAAAAATTGTATTTTTATATAATAAAGTATAATGAATGTTATAGTTCATGATATCCTTATTCTTAACTGAATCTTGAACGTAATAAAACTGTGATTGAAGAGAAATTGAAATTATAATAGATTGGGATTTAATCAATCAAAAGAAAAAAGCCAATTTCAATTTTAGTGAACTTTGTTTAAATTGATTAAATTTCAATCCAATCTTAATCTTAATTTTTAGTCATCACGGTTTAAAAGAAAAACCTGAAAAATCGTGTTTGTGCATGTAAATTGAACCTTTTTTTATTTGTTTTTTTACTTATTTCTCTTGTCTTGTTTACAGAAATTCATAGCATTTTTGCTTCATTCAAAGTAATATACTGAAAAGATGACAACCGTTACAATAGCAACCGCTGCACTAGCTAAAGAAAAGGTATGGTTTGATAAGCCATCCTACGACAAAGCAGAACGCCAGTATTTTGAGAAAATGGCCAAGGTAAGGAATTGTTGTTGCTGCGATCATCCACTGCTCAATAAATAAAGAGGGTTGTCGGCAGGGAATGAGATAGAGTAAAAATGTTTAAACATATAAATCATTGGGTAAATCGTTTGTCTTTAATAACCATGAATTTTAAGTAATACCAAGATTTTTTTAAATCCATATCTTTTGAGAAAGTATAATACATTCATAATTTATCAAGTGAATTTACTAGTCCTAATCATAGCATCCATAGCTAGTGCCGCCTAATAGTGTCATTCTCCTATGTGTATGCATCATGTTTGTGTTACTGTATAACTTACTAACATTTCTAACACACAAATACGCGGGAATATCTGGTGATAACAAAATTAGCTTTGCTCTCTTTCTCTCTTCATACTTCACACAAGGTATCTATAATATTTTTATACAATGAGAAATGTAAAATTCTTTCTCAGTGTAATCTGAAGTTTTTTTCTACATTTTTAAGGTAACCTGATAAAATAGTATTGTAATTTTTTGATATTGTAAGTCACGTTTTTTTCATATCTTTTGGTCTAAAATTCAAGCATTATACAAATCTAATGCTTATATGCCAACATATTTAAACACTTTACATGATTACATAAACGTGTTTAATTATAATATATGTTAAGTAGCAGTTATACGTATCGGTTGCACAAAAGAAACGATTTTTTTTTGCTTCTTGTGTTATTTGAAAACATTGACCTATACTTGCATAGCTTGAAACATGTTTTAAGGTGGTGTCTCGTAAGATTGCGGGAGGCTGCACGCTTAAGTCTGACAATTCTATAACTGACAAGTGCCAAGATCTAATCAATACTAATACATTGAAATCTAAGGCTGAAAAATCTAAAGACAACATGTTAGCTCATGAGTCGAATGAAACGAATATGAAACGTTCCAAATGCCAAGGAAAGAATGCAAAAACCATCAATAAAGATACTGCAGATGTGTGCAACATGCAGAATAAAGAAAACGCAAAGACATGTGAAAAATTTGATAGCATGGATAACGCGAAGGAAAAGGAGAATACTTCTCCGAGCGAGAAATCTAAAAAATATAATGCGAAAGAGGCTAAAGAGAAAAAGAACAAGGAAGATACAAGAAATAAAAATAGGGGAAATGGAGGAACTGATCTCGGGGAAAATAAAGAAACTGCAGTGCCATTCGCAAGGAATAAAGAACAATTGCCCGACCAGGTACATGCTTTAATGCAATCTGTGGGTTACTGTTCAGTGTGTTTCGATAAGACATAGACAAATTTTCAGTTGACTTTACGTTAATTTTATTTCATATTATATTGTCATATAGAAAAGCGCGTCTATTACATTTTGCAATTAAAAGAATGGCATCTGTTTCTTTGTCCCATTTTGTTTTCATTTTGCACTGAGGGGTTTACTGTAACATTTGTACCATTTCTGTCTGCTATAAATGCATGGCATATGCATGTATTATCATTAATGATTTAATTATACATTTATAATTGTAACAAAAAAGGATCTGTTATATTCGCGAAAGGTGTAAAATCTATACATCAGCCTGATTTCGTTCACTCCTGGATTTCGGCCTCTTCCAACCTTTTTCCATTATACATGGAAGGAAAGAATTTGACAGTAAAACGCCACGCTTGCATGCGTGTTGACGAGTATACATATATCCACTGATATATGAGACCTATAGTTTAACGCCGGATCCAGTTAGCGGTTTAAAATCTGCATATTTTGATTTAATAATAAAAAGTAATCACAAAGAATAATTCTAATAATTCAAAGAATAATTCTTTTATTGATAAATTTAAACTGATAGATTTAAATTTTTTATTTAAAAATGCTTCTGACATTATCAACTTCGAAATAACTTGCTTAATAGTATTTATGTCATAACTATCATTACAATATCATTACAATGTAGGATAATACTTTAGAAAAATTTTTGCTTTCTTTTTTGTGTAGACAATTTTTTTGTATTTGTGTACGTTAGTGAATTTTTAATTGCATTCTTATAGTTTAGTTAATAATTCAACAAGTTTTCTTCCTCTGTAAAAAACATGAGCTATATAAAAATGTACTTACTTTAATGATTTGTAAATACTGTTTATTTTATTTTATTTTATTTATTTTTTTTTGTAATATACTACCGCATTTTTATATTAAAAAAGATAGTATTATTTCACTTCTTAATAATTCTGCTATAATACGCGCAATGTCTATCTCCACATGTGTGCTAGCTTAATAAATATCCAAATTGTATTTTCAATATCAGTTTTAAAATGTTATATTTGCATATTTTCTGTAAAAGTAAATATGTGTGTGTATATAAATATATACATCTTCTTTTATGATAATATTAATTTAATAACATTTAATTAACACTTTTATTACCAAAGAGTAATGCTTATTTATGTCAATACTTTTAGAGATTGCATTATTCTATTTTTTATTATAAAGAAAAAAGGAATCTTTAAAGAAATATTTTAATATTTTATTTAAATATATGCATCTCTGTGTATATTAGGATTTTTAATTAATATTTTATTTTGTTAATATTATTAATATAAACTTTAGTGGAGATATGGCATGTAGTTTCGAATAATCAATCTGGGTGTGAGCTTACTTTTAATCTCGGTGGATACAGGCTCAACAGTCCACTTGCCCAATGCCTCCTGTTGGAAGTTTGGCCAATGAGGTTGCGAAGGCTCGGCAGCATATTAAACAGTCTTTACAGTGTGTGAGTACTGCACTCTCTTCGCTCACCCTTACAACCTATACAACGTAATTTTCCACAATCCGCTTACTAATTTAACATTTTCATATTATTTAAACCTGTTCTCACATCCCCTTTCATCGCTTTTTAGGTATTTTGAAATATAAAACTAATGTTGCGAATGAAAAATAAAATGAAAAGGATTTTATGTTTGTAAATTAACTATTAACTATTATGTTTTGTTTTCACGTGAAAATGTTTATTGTATGTTGTTATATTAATGTAATAACAATAAATGATTGAGATTATTAAAACAGTAATATATTAATTATAAGAACATTATAATGACTTTAACGAATGTTAAAATTTCTATGAATAAGACTGGATACACAACAATCAAATTTTTATTTTTTATTTGATCTCACTAATTATATTACAGTAGGAAATATAATTTTTATAGTATCAAATCATATTTTTTTCATCACATATTTTTCAGATGGATGATATTGCAGCACTTGCTCATACCGCAAATCAAGATATTACTCCTCGTATTGTCAAACTTGAAAAAGAAAATCAGGATCTGCGAAATAGTACGTATATTATGACTATTACAGTATTATCGTATATGCAAGTATTTTTTGTTTCAAAAAATTTTTTATAATAATCATCAGCAATTAATAATAAAAAGTAATGTGATATTATATTATTAAGTATATAATTTACTTTTATTACAATTATTATTAGGTGTTGGAATTAATTCGTAGCGTTTTTAATAAAAGAATGTTATTTATTTCACATGAGCATTAAAAAATACATTAATGAAAGTACTTCCCATCACTTGTAAAACGCTACGAATTAATTCCAACACCTAATATTTCTTTTTTATTTATAATTCCATTAAATATTTTTATGAAATGTTGGAGAAGCCCGGGCAGTGCGGACGCATTAAGATTGAGAAGAAAAAATGACACAATTAAAATTCGAGATCAGAAACCATTTTTATTCTCATAAATTCTTAAAGGACTTAAAAATAAAATTAAAAAAAAATAAAAAAAATAAAACTTGAACATTAATATGTCGTTTTAGTTAAAACATAAAAAAAGGGAAACCATCCGCTTTACCCGATTCCCCTGGAGAGTCGAATTTTCATTGTAATCATATACCGAGTAAAGAGGATGGATCATCCGCTTTGCCCCCACCTGCTTTGCCCAAAGGATTTATCTGACGCGAATTTGGAAAGATTAAAATAAGTTGAAGCATCAAGTGAAAAATTTTAACCTCGAATACATGTTTGAAGACAAAATTCTTATAAAAAATCATTCACACTGGTTAAGGAACAATTACAGACAATAATTAAGCTACGTACCTAAGAAAAAAATCACAAGAAAGCATTCAATTTTCTATATGTCTCTATTTAGAGATCCATAGCGCAATCGCAGATAGATAAGCGAAAATAAAAGGTATTTGCTTTACCCAGAGCATCCATTTTGCCCGGGCTTCCCCTACGTATGTAGTATGTACAGTCGGTCACAGAAAGGTCACACTTTTTTTTCGATGAGTTTCGGAATGCAGCTTGCTCACCGATCCATTGGTTCTTATTCATGGATCCACAAATAAGAACCAATCTCTCAGTGAGTAGGCTGCATTTCGAAACCCATCGAAAAAAAAAGTGTTGCAACCTTTCTGTGACCGGCTGTACACACACATAATACCCGCACGTACACGCGCCAGCAAATAAAGTTAATTATCATTATATTATAATTTCTTTTATTACGTAAATTATGTAATTATATGTTGCACCTAAAATAATTTTAGCATGAATTAATTATATATAATATCTGAATTTAAATTATTGTTACATATACTTTTTTAATTTTAAAACATTATGCAAATACAAAAATATGTACAAAGATAATATGAGGTAAGAATGCAAAAAATTGTATCAAACTGTAATGATTTTCTTCAGATTGTATCGATAGACAATTTTAATGATGCTGGCAAGTACAATTAAAAGAATATGTATAATTTGAAAATCTTTCTGAATAGTCATTCAGGACCTGAAGAATACTGTTGAAAAGTTGACGCATCAAGTGAAAATTGTTGGAACTTTGGAACATCGTGTCGAGAGCCTTGAAGCACGTATACCTTGGATAGCAATTTGTCCTGCGAAACTTGAGGAACCAAAACAAGAGCAGAAGCAGAACAAAAAAAAAGATGACAATGAAGATATTGATCTGTTTGGTTCTGATTCAGAGGCAAGTGAGCAAAGACTGTAGAAATGATATTAATTGGTCTCTTTGTATAAGACGAATGTTTAATTTCATATGACACAGGAATAATTAAACATAACACACTGATATTCCTAAATTAATACAAATATTATTATGCAATTTTATATTTATATAAAATTATATGATATTTATTATTTGGCATACACCAGATATTCCCATAGTACTGATTCATCCAATATTAGCACTTTTTTCACATTCATATAAATTCAGTATGTAATAATGTCTCTTTCGCGAATTATAAAATCTGTCTGTTTTCATCCTATGATGAAAATTCTTACTGTATTTGATTCGATAGGGAGACGATTCAGAGGCTGCCAAGATTAGGGAAGAACGAATTGCTGCATACATTGCTAAGAAATCTAAAAGTATGTAACGGAGTTCAGAGTTATCCAAATTATATTATCATTAATCGACTTGTATCTTATAGAACAAGCCTTAATAGCTAAATCAAATATCGTCCTGGATGTCAAACCATGGGACGACGAAACAGACATGCAAGACATGGAAAAAGAAGTGCGGAAGATCGAGATTGATGGTCTTCTTTGGGGTGCTTGTAAGTTTTTATAATATCTTTTAATATCGTATGCAAACTCTATCTCTACTAAGATTACTTTATCCTTCTTTTGTAGCTAAACTCATACCGCTTGCCTTTGGAATTCACAAACTACAGATTTCATGCGTAGTAGAAGACGACAAAGTGTCAGTAGATTGGTTAATGGAAAGGATTCAAAATATCGAAGAATATGTACAAAGCGTTGATATTGCGGCTTTTAACAAGGTGTAAAGAAACTAGAGTCAAACTACAAAAAAATGTGTAGTCAAAAATAAGCATCGGTCTATGTGCCATTTCTGCATTCCATTAACAGTATCTATAATCGAAAACTTCATATGCACGTTTTATCGTATTATTAAGTCAAAAGACAAAGATAAAATTGTTCGATGTTATTACTATCTAAAACCTTGAAAAATATAAAAAGCAAATTTAACAATTCAAATTTAGTGAATTTAGATAAATTAAAAATATTTATTACTAATCTTTATAATGTTATAATTAGAGTTCTCTATCTCTTATACAAGGTGCGTCCCAAAATTTTCCGAACTTTTTCAATAGGGATAGGTCGGGTGGCGCCATCCGTGTGTTCGATTGCGCGTTTGAAAGGTACATCCCTAGCTGACTTCCAGTAAAAATTTCATGACATTTGGTTCAGTGGAAACGAAGTTATGGCGTCTCAAGTGTCAGTATGTTGTATACATCGGTACGAGAATGAACTTCGAACAAAGAGCCAATATTAAGTTTTGTTTTAAACTTGGTAAAACATTTACCGAAACCCATAATTTGATGAAACAAGTTTATGGTGATAATTGTGTAGCCCGTGCCAGTGTTTATGAGTGGTATACGCGATTCAAGAACGGTCGTGAGGACATAAATGACGACGCACATACAGGTCGCCCAAAATCGACAATTAACGAAAATTCCATCGAAGTTGTGCGTAATTTCATCAAGCATGAGCCAAAATCTTCAGTGAGATACATGGAAATGGAATTGAACATCCCCAAATCAACGATTTATCGCATTTTGACCGAACATTTGGGCCTACAAAAAGTCTGTGCACGATTTGTTCCACACAAGTTGACTGACGACCAAAAAATGCATCGAATTCAACATTCAAAGGACATTATTAAGGAAGCAAAAAAGGACCAAAACTTCCTTTATAGCATTGTTACTGGTGACGAGACGTGGTGTTTTCAATACGATCCAGAAACCAAGCGTCAAAGCGCGGAATGGAAGGCGCGAAACGACCCAAAACCCAAAAAATCGCGTTTAGAGAAGTCAAAAGTGAAGACAATGCTCATTTGTTTTTATGATTCCAAGGGTATTGTGCACAAAGAATTCGTTCCAGCAGGCCAAACAGTTAATGCTGTATTCTATGTAAGCGTTTTGAAGCGTTTGGTGCACCGCATTCGTCGTATTCGGCCAGAATATCGCGAAGGAGGAAGTTGGCGCTTGTTACACGATAATGCGCCATCTCACCGTTCGACATTTGTCACTGATTTTTTGACTAAAAATCACATTTTAACAATCAACCATTCCCCGTATTCGCCTGATATGGCACCTTGTGACTTCTACCTATTCGGCAAAATGCATTTGTCCATGAAAGGAAAGCGGTATGTGGACGTAGAAGACATCCAAAGGGCTTGTACCACTATTCTGAAGGACGTGCCTTTGAACGACATAAAACACTCATTTGAAATGCTTTTAGATCGTGCCAAACGTTGTATTGAGTCCGACGGGGACTACTTTGAATAAACAATTTGAATTTGAAAAAAAAAGTAAACCGTTGTTTTATTTCAAAAGTTCGGAAAATTTTGGGACGCACCTTGTACATATATATATTTTTTTATTAATTACAACAAATTCTTTCCGTTAAAAATGAAGTTACCTTTTATTATTTTATGTTCTCATATTACCTTAAATAAAAACATTTGTGGCCAATGCAATATACGTATATTTAGTGATTTCTGATTTATAAGAAACAATATCTGTTATTCCTAGATCCATTCATCCACAGTTACGAATTTAATATTGACATAGCTGAATCATATACATATATATGTATGCTAAAATTTTTTTTAAGCAGCATCATGTTTATTTTTAATCGTGTGTTTACTCATACTGATCTCTTTCATTACTGATAAGGACTAAATTGAGATATCATTGCACAATGTCATATTCTAATAAAATGATATAACGCACAAGTGTTAATAAAATACGAATTATAAAGACAAAACGTGCACTGAATATTTTTTGCTAACGTAGTAACACTAAATTTTTATATTGGTATGATGTGCAGTAGAAAGTGAACATGTTCAATAAAATTTTAGACACTAACATTTCCTCATGTAAGTTTTTGTATTAATAATTGTAGGGTAAGTTTTTTACACCGTTGGAATGAAACGTGATGTTTTGACAAAACAAAAAACTAAATTTCTTGTAAAACTGGAGAAGTATGGGACAGAAATTTCAGACCGTTTGTAGCATTTCATAAATTTCTGATGCACCTTCCATTCTTCCTAAATTTCACAAAAAATCTGATTTTCTATTTTGCCAAAATATCATGCTCTATTTCGATGGTGCAAAGCTGTTCTCAATTATTGACACAAAATCCAACATGTGCAAATGGTAATGATCAAAATTGGACTGAAGATGTTATTAGACTTTCTACTATACACCACAACACTATAAAAATCTACAGTGCTGCTACGTTAGCAAAAAAATTCAGTGCACGAACGTTTTATCTATATTTTATTTTTATTAACACTTGCAATATATTTTATTAAAATATGACATTATGCGACAATATCTCAATTTAGTTCTTATTAGTAATGAAAGAGAACATCAGTATAGATAAACACGATCATAAATAAACATGATGTTGCTTTAAAAAAATTTTCCTCCATTAGACTTTATTACATGCTACGCTATTATGAAACTTACAGTGTTGCTACGCAAGAAAAAAATTCATTATATAAACTTTTTATCCATATCACATAAATCACGATTTGATTTCATATTGAAATAATTTTTATTATAAAAATTAAACAATTAATATTAATAATAATATTAATTAATATTATGTTATGAAAAAATAGACTGATTCTTTATCAAAAAATATATTGAATCCTAAATTAGATAGATTGAATCCTATTAAAAAAAAAAGAAGACAGTTTTCATTATAAATTGTTAAAAAAGAACAAAATTTTTTATGTTATGTCTCTTAACTTTTATACGAATTTTTTCCAATCTTAGTATTTTACAAAAATATTTGTCTAATTTATGGACTCATTTTTGCGCATTTTAATTGTTCTATTAATATATATTTTTTAATTATTTTAGAATTTTTTTAATGATATGTAAAGATAAATTTTAAAGAAAGAAGTGATAAAATTTTATAAAATATGTAAATATATGTATATATTAGCTTTATTTATTGTTCAATAAAACTGTCAATTTTAATTTTCTTTTTTTTTTTTCTACAGGGTGGGCCATCTATTGGTACGTTTTTGAATTTCGTCGTATGGCAACACCGAACGAGCTACAGACCCGAAATTTTGACAGTTTATTAGTCATACCGTCCGCGGCACGAAACAACATGTTTTCTCTTGAAGAGCGTTTTGAAATTTTAAAAACTTATTTTCAAAGTCAGTGCTGTGTCGCCGAAACTGTACGAATTTTGAAAAGAAATATGGGTCGTGATAGAGCACCCACCGAAGGAGCTATACGCAAATTGGTGAGGAAAGTTCGTGAGAAAGGGATGTTAGTGGATGACATTATATTACGACTGTTTTGAGTGAAATTGGCGCCGAGGTAGTCCAAAATGTCATTAATAATTGGGGTGACCGAATGGCATACTGTAAGGCCAGTAGAGGGAGCCACATGAACGAAATCGTTTTTCATTCTTGACGCGGATACTTTTAGCTTCACAACAAAAAAAAAATTAATAAAAAATATCAATGTATGCTCATTTGATCGCATTTTTAAAAACGTACCAATAGATGGCCCACCCTGTATATGAGATATAGCGTAACCATTCGCGAAAAATTCTTATTTGCCTTGTTTGTATAAAAGATGACGAAATTATTAGAATAAAGCTCACCTAATTGTTTTTTTAATTCTATTTATAGGAATATTGGAATAAACTAAGTAAGAATTAAATCTTTATTTCACGCACAAAAAAAATTTTTTTAAAACTCTAACATTGGGCCTTATTACATGTATATAAATATATAATAAGACCCAAATAAAAAATAAATAACAAATAAAAATAATAAACATCTTTTTAAATTAGTTTTAAAACGATTATTAATCATAAAAAGAAAATTATTCTTTAGGACTTATTCTATTCTCAAACATTACAATTATCATTTATTTTTTGTCAATTAACTCTTTAATCTTTGGAAATATCTAGCAATTTGAATGCAATTTGAGTTTCCGAAAAGAAGCAGCATTAAAAATTCTATGGCATAAACCTTATATAAATAACAATAGTCATAATAATAATCACATTAGTGGACCTTATTTAATGAGTACATTGCTTAAAAAAAATACTTATATTTATTTCAAAAAGTTGATTTATTTGTATGTTTTTTTCCATAACTAGGAAGTTGAATATAATATTATAATGTATTATAATATTATATAATGAACTAATGTGTATTGGTAAACTTTGCAACAAATTTCTTATAAAAATGGCTCATATATAATACACAAGTTTTTGTTGTGTTAAACAAATATGTTACTACTGATTCCAATTCTTTAATTCCTTTCTATTTACTTTCTATGACACATCTTTTAAGAGTTTTAAACATATACTTCAAACATGTTTTAAAATAATAAATGTAAAAACGGGTTTTATTCAAAACTGGGCTTTATTCGACTCAGATATCTTCAGATATGTTATATTCAGATATGTTATCGCGTTTCCGGTATCTACTTTACTTTGTAAGTCTAAAGCAGTGGCGTAACCGGGAAGCAGAGGGGGTTGCGGTCCAAGGATCTCTTAAAACAGAATTTTATTTTTAATTACATTGTCCATTACTATTTGCCTTGATATTCTATAAGTTTTACTAGATCTCTATATCGAAAGATATAATTAACACAAAAATAAAAACGCCTATATTTAGCAACTTTGATCGTGATGTTTTTTTCAAAAACTTAACATGATATGCCATTTTTACGGACAGTGACAAAAAATTTATCAGAAATGACTTGATAAAACTTAACCCTAACTATACACATTTTTTTTACCCCTGATGTACACACTTGAGTATCCTAGAATTTTATCATATTGTAAGCAATCATTTTTGTGCACAAACGAATTGTTAGCAAAAGTGACGTAGGCAAACGATACTGTAGGCAATCGATCTGTAAGCAAACAGGATCCTCTTCAAATTTTGAAGTTACGCCATTGAGTCTAAAGTATATATGTATATCATTTTTCAATTCCTGTAGAAGAATTATATCAGGTTTGTCCCCACATTTTGCTCGCAATTCATGATGGCAGATCTCAGTTACAGTTAACATAATTGTTCGTTGCAGTATTCAAAATACAGTCCTTGTAGAAGGTACACCAGAAATATCTTAAAGTTTGCATCTTTGGACAACATTATAAAAAATGGTAGGCAATATTTTTATATAATTATTAGTTTTAATTATTAGTATTAATAATTTAGAAAAAACAATGATAATATATATCTCATATAAGAAAATCTATAACTATGAAATCTATAATTATAGAACTGTTTTTGATTATTATAATCATCTTTATTATATAAATTACACAGTTATAATTTTAAAAAACAATAACGAATAATTGAATGAAAGACTCTTGTGACTTAGAATAACCAAAACAATAAAATTAAGAAAAATTCACAGACAATTAAGAGTCCACGCGGTAATTGGTGCGTATAAAATTCAAACGTATTAATAATTAATTAAACATCCATATAATGTAATCAATCAAATATAAAGTTCCCGAACGTTCTATATTGGGACCATCCTCAACAGTGCAAAAATAAGTCTTCATAAGTCTTGACTATCATTAAGATCGCAGTTAGTGAATCTGTGCTTCCACAAAATAACAAGCCTATCACTTGGTTGAGTGAAAGTCTCCTCTATTTAATTCTTTTATTCCATAGGAAATGTCTTTGTTGCTCAGCAGAGACACCCTATACTTAATACAATTACACAATAATATAAAATCCATCGATAAATTTTAATATACAGTAAATTATGTCTTAACTCATCGATTAAACGATGTTCATTACGTTAATTGTCTGTGAATTTTTCTTAATTTTATTGTTTTAATTATAATTTTGTTTTATATTTATTTTTTTACTGAGAATTTTTAATTAGTTTAATTTTTAATTTATTACAATTTTAATTTGGGAATTGGAAATAAAAGCTCTAAATGATTAAGCTACATCTTTAATGTTGAAATAATTCTATGAATTTATATACTACATATGTGTATATCCAATTTTTCGAATTGCGCGCCAAATTTATTTTCAGTTTTGAAACACAATTAACAGAACTACAGTAGTAATAATTGACAAGCAATTTAATTATATTGATGTTCATAAGATATCTTAGATTGATCTAAAATCTGTAAATAATTTATATTGCGAAGAATATTACCGGCCGGCGGAGATCGAATTCGGAGATCTTCATGCATCTTCCGTGCGAGCATCCTAACTCTTTAAATATAGAATTATTTCAGCACTAAAGATCCAGTTTAATCATATTAGGGACTTTTATTTCCAATTTGTTGTGTAGTCACATTATCTTATAAGACTTTTCATTGTTTATTTTATTATGTTACATTTAAATCACAAATCATCTTTTTATAATCCTAAAACAAGTTTTCTATATTTATTACAGACATTGACAATCATTAAGTTTGTCTTCGTAATCATCACTTTTGTTTGCTGGTCTACATCATCAAGAGCAAATGTTTACTTTGCCATAGAAAATTATATAAATGATCAATCGCTTCAATCTCTGTGTAATGATAATGCGGCTCTAAACTTCTCGAATGCAGTGATCTCTGAAATCAATGAGAATTTCATCAGCAGCCCTGTGATTACCTGCCTCAATTTTATGGACAATACTATTGGAAAAATTGGGAAAGGTGCCTTCAAAAAATTACCAAATTTAACTCAATTATTTCTTTCGAACAATAGATTGGACAACGGAAATCGACTAATTCTTAACTTTGGAAGTCACGATCAGTTACAAGTGCTTGTTATGAATAATGCAAACAGATTCAGATCATATTCTAGATCATCTATACAGATTTTCGGTGAATATCCTAACTTAGAAATTTTATCTCTCCGTGAAAATAATGCCATCGATTTAGAATTTGCACAAGAAACTTCATTTGGGAAATACTATTTTACTTATACGACGCCGATGACTTCACAAAACTGGATGCCATTCCCCAAATTAAAGATCTTGGATCTCTCCGAAAACAGCATAACAAGAACCAATTTTGTACAACTACTGTCGAACAGCTTATACTTTCTTGATCTTCATGATAATTCGCTTAGTGAATTGAACTTAAACGAAAAAGGAAACAAATTGTTCACACTAAATTTGGATAAAAATAAGTTTAACAATATTCAACAATACAATAATGGGTACAACGGTGGTTTATCGATGGCTGATCTGAAGAATCTACACTATCTTTCTGTTTCTAGAAATGAGATTAATACTATCGAATCAGATGCTTTCCAAAACAATAACGAATTGCTTTTTTTGAACTTATCCTCAAATCGCATACGTCACCTACATCCAAAAACATTTGCAGATTTGCAGTATTTAAAAACACTTGATTTAAGTAACAACCAACTCGAAGTTCTGCAAATCTCAATAAATGAAACAGAAATTAGCACTTTATATATTAATAATAACAACATAAAAAATATAACTTCGGATACTTTTATGCAGATGCCGAAATTGATGAAATTGTTAATGGGAAAGAATAAGATTGATAAAATAGATGTTAATACGTTCGCTCATCTTACTATCCTAGAAGAATTAGATTTGTCGAGCAATATGTTAAGTTCTTTGCCGGAAGGGTGGACAGAATCCCTTGTATCTTTAAAATATTTGAATTTAAGCGATAATAAATTCACTTCGCTAGAGTCTTTGTCACTGACAAATACGTTGCCATTGATAACAGTATATTTAATGAAAAATTCATTAGAATATCTTAATGTTAAATATTTTGAGAATTTACCACAAAATCTCACTATTGACTTGATAAATTCAAATTTTACAAAATATATATGAGATACAAATATTTCGAGTACCCCGATAGAAGATGACTGGTATTGAAATTTAATACATTTTACATGTCCCAAATGTTTACTCAAATTTATGTGTTAATTTAACTTAAGATGAATGTCAGAAGGTAACATAAACATTATTTAAGAAAATTAACGAAATAAAAAAGGTAATACTGACACAGTTTGTAAACAAACAGTGGCATTTTTTTTTCAGTAAAATTAATATTTATGATATGTTAAATTAACACATATTTTATTTATTTATCTTATAATTTATGTTTTGGAACACATTTTTATGTTACTTGTTCACTTACTTATAAATTGTACTATTTTGACATTAAGAAATGTTGAATATCGATTTAACACACTAACTATTTAAATAATCACATTATGTTAAATTAAGTCATTAATTATGTAATAATGTGTCGACATAAGACTTTACATGTTTATATAAATTTTATTCAGTAAAGATTACTAGACTATATCGCGCAATATCGCAATCATGTTTCGATCCTCAGTTTGGATTCTCTTAAGTGCATATAATGTTTAAGAACAATAATAATTAATAAAATATGTGTACATTTTATCAAAAGACGTGTTTCTTATTTATATGTAAAAGTGTTACAACATTTAGTCGATTTTAATTCACATGTAAAGAATAGCTATTGATTTTCTACGCCATATAATCCTCATTAAATTGCCAGATTTTTTGTATAATATTATATTGTTCAAATAATCATATATAAAATTTATAGTGTTATTAACTTACATGAGTATGCTATCTTTTAAAGATGTTGTCATTATGATAGTTGCAGTACATATGAGTGTTAATATTTCTTTTAATGCTATTGTCTGCTTTTCATTTATGCCTATAACTATGAAACTTTAGTTTAAATATTTTATTGTCAGTCAAATGGTGGATATATGACATGTCCTTACAACATCAAATACGATTTTTAAAAAGATTTTTAACAAATCCTTATTCAAATCAATTCACATTTTTAACATGTTAGTCACATACGAGAATTAATAAATTGAAAAAATGAAAAATGTCTTGTATAACGCATTTTCAAGTTACGAAGTATTAATAGATAGATAAGTTAAAGGTTTTGATGAATAATTAACTATGTAATAATGCCAATAAGAGCCGATATAAGACTTTAGTATGTTTATACAAATTTTATTCAAAAAAAATCACTAGACTATATCGCAATATCGTATGAAATTTTAAATAATGATGTGAATTTGTCTATATATATGTAACATCAGAAGTTTATGATCAATATTAATAATAATATTGATAATATTACATTATCAAAAAATAGACTGAATTCTTTATTAAAAAAATAGATTAAATCTTTTTATTAAAAATAAAAGAGGAAGCAGTTTTTACTATAAATCAGTAAAAACGGACAAAATTTTCTGTATGTTATTTTCTATATTTTTTAACTTTCATTTGAATTTTTACCAATCTCAGTATTTTTCAAAAATATTTGACTTTAATTCATCGATTCATTTTTGCGTATATTTTAATGTCTTTATTAATATATATTTTTATTTGGGAAAAAATGTTACAATGAACATATTATATATGTAATTATATATAAGATGTCAATTTTATATAGGCGAAACCGAGACATGGATCACGGGGTAACGTGGGTCATCGATTGTTTAACATAATCTAGAATGTTTAAATTAATACTGGTACAAATATAACTGTTACTTTGTTGCCCATACTTTTTATCTAGATGGTAGTGATTAAATTCCATTGTATCAAAAAGTATCGATTATTAATGGTTTTCGTGATGCAATAGTAACTTTTTAACCGCATAAAAATTTTAATACTTTTGTAGTAAAAGATACATGCATGAAGATAAGGTGCAAGTTTTTGCGCATATTATGTCATCTTACTACGTTACAATAATTTAACATTTATTTTTTATCATTTTCTGTTAAATGTATAATTAAATGTATAATTGGGATCATACACTAAATATTCATGATGTAACGGGATAATACAGAAAGTATATGTATTAAAAGGGCAGTTTATACTTCTAAGCAATTAATTTTATTTTATCGTAATAAATTTTTTATCTTATATTAATGGTTATTTCTCATTTATTTTTCTATAATTTTCTATTGTATTATTTAATAATTATTAGTTGTAATTATATTTTATTGATTAGTGACTATGCTAAGAATATGTCAATTGGAAAATATTTTTCAACTTTTACCGTTATTTCTTGTATAATCCTATTATTTTGTAACTTATACCTCCATCATAGATCATTTCTTAAAAAATACATTTTTATTTTTTTTTAAACTTTTTTTATAATTAATATTTACTAAATATACTTATTAAATTTAAAATGTGCATTGTGCTTTAATTATTTAAAAAAAAATGATTAAAAAATTGTTATATTTAGATGTACTTTTAAGAGTTTGAATTTTTGTGACTCATGGTGCCCCGGTCTCCTCTATATATACCTATAATTATATATAATTTTATATAATTATATATTGTATAATTATATATGAAACATTTTTTCTCGGATAATTATTCAAGTAAATTTTAAAGAAAGAAAATTTTACAAAATATATACTGGATGATCCACACCAACCGAAGGAGCCGGTATGTACGTATACTGTTTATGAAAAACTGAATCGATAAGTTCTCTACCATTTTGCAATTTTCGCAATTTTTTTCAGTTAACTCAATAAGTAGAATGTCTAAAGTCAACTCATAAGATAATTGTAGGATATCTTTAACAGTTCTTTAAGAAATATCTTTGAAATATTTCATAAAGAACTTTGAAAGATATATCTTAATATTGTCTTTACATTAATTTTACCCGATTTTATTCGATTTTAAAAATTAATATCTCGTTAACTCGTTGCGACCATTGCAGAAACGCAAAAGAGTTTTCGATTCAGATTTTTATAACTAATATATACGTACATACCGGTTTCTCCGGTTTCTGGTCTGGACCACCCAGTATATGTACATGTTGATTTATTCATCGTAAAACTGTCTATGATCATCGATGATAATTTTAACTTTCTTTTTTCTGTTGCAATATTGCATAATTAATATTCTTGGAAGAGATTTTCTGTTTATACGTAACATATTTATACGAATGAGAGGAATTATATAAGCTTGCCTCACACTTTGTTCACTCAAATTTGCTCGATCGCGACGGCAGATCTCACATAGTACTCAAAATATAGTTCTTATATAGAAGGTACAATAGAAATAACTTAAAGTTCGCAAGAGAATATAAAAAATGGTAAGCTACATTTTTATTAGAACCGTATAATTTAATGTGAATACACAGTAAGAAGCAATGCCTACATCGGTCAAAGCTGGATCTTGATTGCTTTAAATAATTTCATGTGAATTTATATACTACGTTTGCAATCTATCGAATTGCACCCCGAATTGGGGGAATTTTCCAGACTTAGAAATGCAACTGAAACAGTAATATTACAAATCAAATTGATTAACAATTTAATAATCTGATGTTCAATTGGCATCATTTTAAGATTCTAATGTATTGAAAATCTGTGAATAAATTTATTACGAAAAATATTACCTCGACCGGATGTCGAACCTGGATCTCCAGCATTCCATGCAAGCGTCCTAAGCCCTTAGACAATTAACTAACTGTCTAAAGACTGATATAAGCATTGTTTATTATGTATTTACATTTTTATATATAATTTTAGGAGAAATTACGATAACTAATAAATTTTACATATCTCATACAAGAAAATCTACAACTATATGGAATAATTATGGCTACTATGTTACTATTATTGTAATTATCCAAAATTAAAACTTTTTTTCTAGACCATAAACGGGATCAAATAATTTTTATAGATTTTTGATTGCTAAAAACGAATCTGTAAATAAAATTATTCTATTACGTCAAGTCTTTGAGAAAATTAATTCTAAGGCCCACAGAAGTTTCACAACTCACAGTTAACTCTTAAATGTATAATTGGGACAACTCAGATTCAATCCTTATTCATTATTTCTTTCCAATTCTAAACTTGCAAAAAGATGAGAAACAAGTTGAACCGCGGTTAAGAATTAACCAACTGGGCCTAATAAATGTGATTTCTGTGTTCTTTTGAGAAAACGTGACATGATGGAGCAATTTTATTTAGGAACTCATTTTCTGCAAAAAATTTATAAGAGTCATCTATTTTATTAGCGGTTTTATGCAAGAAACAACAGTTACACTGAAAAGTTAAGGAAATCCATAAATATATATCCAGACAGCACACAATATTTATAAAATATTTACAAAATATTTATAAATATTTATAAGAGGCTTATTTTAAATATTTTGTTATAGGAGAGGATAGAGATCGCCGATTCTGTTTCGGCGCGAATGATTTCACGGACGAGTTTTTTCTTTCTCCTGTCGCTAACTTGCTTGTATTGCTTGTATAGAGATATGTGTGTGTGTGTGTGTGTGTGTGTGTGTGTGTGCGCGCGCGCGCGCAAAAGCCTCTTTTTTGTATTGTACACGACTTTTCTGATTCGAACGCATGATATATTTAATCTATGTTTTAATAATATTTCAAATGAATTTATATAAAATATGTAAAAAATATTTTTTTATATAACATTTCAAAAAATGAATAATAAATATTTATCATAAATATTCTGTGCTGTCAAGATCTTTTAAAGACTGCTTATGCAATTTAAATCACTTGTATATAATGATTTGCGAAGTCGCTCATTATGAATCTAAAATCAAAATTATCAAATACAATTTATTTAAACAATTAACAAAAGTTTGATTTGAATGAAAATAATAGTAAATATTGGATTCTATGAAGAAAATGCATAAAAGTATTATAGTATATTACATTATTTTTCTGTCTCATTTATTATAAACAAAAAAAAATACAAAACAACAGGTGATTATTCAAATTGCATAAGCAGTCTTCAAAATATTACATTTCTATCTACAGATTTAAGTTTTCTTTTTTTTATTGTACTATAGCTTCTTAAATAAAGCAATCAATAGATGACTGCTATAGATTTTTTTGTTAAAAACGAATTCATAAATGAAATTGCTCTATCACGTTACATTTTTTAAATATTTTAATTCAAATATATCTAAAAATGCCATTTTTGATATTTTCAGGTTTCATTTTCTCGAAAATCTGACATAATAGAATAATTTCATTTATGAATTTGTTTTCTATAATAAAAAAATTGTAAGAATAACTTGGTTCCATTCGTGGTCTAAAATCCGTATTGGACAGTGTTATTTTTATTAATACAGTTATAATTTTGTTTTATATTTCACTGGAAATAAGGATCAAGTTGAAGCCTGAATGTTGAAATAATTCTGTGTAAATTTATACATAAAGGAAAACTCTTTATTATGAGATAAGCGTCTAATATGAGATAGTGACGTTTCTGCTAATCACTATTTATTGGTTCCATCATGAATTTATTGCTCTTTGATTGAAAATTGTGTAGTGGGAAATTCATTATTAGATCATGCCCATAGCCAGCGTAAAAAAAGATTTTAGAATTTGAGTGTCTTCAAATTACATCAATATGAGCCTTTAAACCTTGATTATTATTTAATAAGTAAATATCTGGCAATAAATTGTTCATGTGAATGATGGAGTAAAAATTGTACTAATAGAAAAATATAAAATATGTTGAAATGCTTAATTACAGAAATTAGATTTGATGATAAAATCATAAGGAATCGTGGAAATCGTAATATGAGATACCTAGGGTACTTTTAATATGAAATAACTTATGCTCTTATGTTATAATGAAAATCGCTAAAGTAAAAATTGCTAAAGTATAAATGTTATCGTACAATAATAAAAAGAACAATCGGAATGTACATCAAGTGCCTATTTCTGCGATATTGGTTCTACCTATTCTTCTAACTATTTGAAGACGAGTTCTGGGTATAATCCATCGCATTCATTTTTCGCGCACGCTGGCTGTGTTTGTTTGTATTTTAAAAACATTAAATAAAGTTTTTTAATTGCAATACTGATGTACTTTGCGTTTTATTATTGATTTCTCAAGGCACCTCATATTAGGAACACAATTTTTTGACTTTGCGATTTGCTCTTTTACATTTCTTTAATTTAAAAAAAAATTTAATTAAATTTTACATAACATTATCTTAAAGCTTATTAAATTTCTTTCAAAATGACCTATTATTTTTGTAAATTCTGCCCATAAATTTCTAGCATTTATCCAAAATGAACTTGGTATCTCATAATAGAGGCCGTTTCTTACAATTTTACAAGCCACGCGACAAATTTATTTTTAGTCTTGAAATGTAACTTTAACATAGAACTAGAGTAGTAATACCTCATTAAATTGACAAGCAATTTAATTATATTAATGTTCATAAAATATCTTAGGCTGATCTTAATCTTTTGGTATTGATAAGCATCTTAAAATCTAACTCTATATATTGCGTTGTAAATAACTCTATATATTGCGAAAAACATTCTTGGACGGGGATTAAATCTGAATCTCTTGCATTCCGTGTGAGCGTCTTAAACCTTTAGACACAGAATTGTTTCAATACTAAAGACCAGCTTGGTTGTAATAAAACCTTATTTACAATTTGTTATGTAGTTACATTATATAGTCTTATAAGATACTCTATATTGTTTAATTTATTATGTTATACTTAAATCACAAGCTATTTTTTTAAAAACAAAATGTGTTCTGTATTTTACAGAAATTAATCATCGCAAAGATTGCCTTTACAACCATTTTCTTTTGCTGGTCTACATTATGTGCAACAGCAAACGATGTTAATTTTACTATAGAAAACTACATGGACGAATCGCTTCAACCTATATGTAATGATAATATTTCTTTAAATTTCTCAAACGCTGTGATCTTTGAAATAAAGCGGGATTTCATCAGCAGCCCTGTGATTACCTGTCTCAATCTTACAGGCAATAGTATTGAGAAAATTGGTAGAGGTGCCTTCGATAGATTACCAAATTTAACTCAATTGTTTCTTTCAAACAATAAATTGTCTAGCGGAAGTGAACTTCTTAACTTTGGAGGTCACGATAAGTTACAAGTGCTTATTATGAATTATGCAAGCAGAAATGACTATTCACAATGTTCCTACTTGTATAATAAGGGCAATATACAGATTTTCGGCAAATATCCCAACTTAGAAATTTTATCTCTAAATAATAATTGTTTCAAAGATTTAGCGCTTGTACAGGAAAATCCATATATGAAATCCCATTTTACTTATATGACTTCGCAAAACTGGATACCATTTCCCAAGTTAAAGATCCTGGATCTTTCTAAAAATAACATAGAAAGTACCAATTTTGTAAAACTACTATCAAACAGCTTATACTTTCTTGATCTTCATGACAATTCGCTTAGTGAATTGAACTTAAACGAAAAAGGAAACAAATTGTTCGCATTAAACTTGGATAAAAATAAGTTTAACAATATTCAACAACAGTTTGGGTACGCTTTATTGATGGCTGGTCTGAAGAATCTACATTATCTTTCTGTTTCTAGAAATGAGATTAATTCTATCGAAGTAGATGCTTTCAAAAACAATAATGAATTGCTTTTTTTGAACTTATCCTCAAATCGCATACGTTACCTACATCCAAACACATTTGCAAATTTGCAGTATTTAGAAACACTAGATCTAAGTATCAACCAACTTGAGAATGTTCCGTATATCCCACATGAAACAAAAATTAGCATTTTATACGTTAATAACAACAACATAAAGAAAATAATCTCGGATACTTTCGTGCATATGTCAAAATTGATGAAGTTGTTAATGGGAAAGAATCAGATTGATAAAATAGATGTCAATGCGTTCGCTCATCTTACTGTCCTAGAAGAATTAGATTTGTCGAGCAATATGTTAAGTTCTTTGCCGGAAGGGTGGACAGAATCCCTTGTATCTTTAAAATATTTGAATTTAAGCGATAATAAATTCACTTCGCTAGAGTCTTTGTCACTGACAAATACGTTGCCATTGATAACAGTATATTTAATGAAAAATTCATTAGAATATCTTAATGTTAAATATTTTGAGAATTTACCACAAAATCTCACTATTGACTTGATAAATTCAAATTTTACAAAATATATATGAGATACAAGTATTCCGAGTACCCCGATAGAAGATGACTGGTATTGAAATTTAATACATTTTACATGTCCCAAATGTTTACTCAAATTTATGTGTTAATTTAACTTAAGATGAATGTCAGAAGGTAACATAAACATTATTTAAGAAAATTAACGAAATAAAAAAGATAATACTGACACAATTTGTAAACAAACAGTGGCATTTTTTTTCAGTAAAATTAACATTTATGATATGTTAAATTAACACATATTTTATTCATATCTTAGAATTTCTTACGTTTTAACATCTTTACGTTATGTGTTCACTTATTCATAAATTGTACTATTTTGACATTAAGAAATATTGAATATCGATTTAACACAAACTATTTAAATATATATACATTATGTTAAATGAACTGAAAAATGTCAAAAAATTCTATACAAAAGTTCAACACGAATTTGATCAGTGGACCGTTTCTAATACAAATACGAAATGTTTTCTACTGAATGTACATATGAGAAATTTATATTAATATGGAGATATTAATACAAATTAAAATTTTAGTACTGTAAACATAAAAAATATTCTCTTTATTTGTTAGAAATAATAAAATTTTAAATAATGAATAAGATTTTTCTAATATGTAACATCGAAAATTATATTTGTATATGATTAACATTGAATATATGTTTGTTAAAATCTCATATGCGTATATATATATATATATATATATATATATATATATATATATATTATATCTGTATACAAAATTATCCTTATTGTAATTATTAATCAGTTATTCGAATTTTGAATAGTTATTCGTACTTCAGTCAATTACACCAGAGAGAAATCTTTCTGCTTATGTACGCTATTCTTTATAAGTAGATATATGTATATAGTAGAGGAAAGTCGCTGATACTGAACATAGGTCTCCTAAAGTGACATCCCCTTATTTCTCAGAAGCTAACTACTTTTTATTAATATTAATAAAATCATGATTTGTATAGCTAATTAAAGAAGTACAAACTCATAATTCGTATATTTGTGACTTGTTTCTATACTAAATCAGCTAAAAACAAATTTTTACAACTTGAAAATAAAATTTTTACGACTTTCTTTTGCAAATTGCGTAGTTTAAATAATAGTGACCATATTATTGATAGTATTACGTTATTTTAAATGCTTATAATTTTCTAAATCAGTTTTATTTAAATTATTTTTTCTCTTAGTTTTTGTATAATACAATTTTAAATTTAAAATTGGGGTGCAGCGTAAACTGCCACACCTGTCTGTAAAACTGATTATGAGCTAACTTAATTTTTATAATGTTGCTTTATATTGTCAAATAGTTCTATTGGAGCTGAAGACAATCGTATATACATATATGAAAAAACTCTTGAAAAACTTCTCTCTCTCTCTATTACGTTACATATTTGCATCTTGCAGAACAGCATAAAGTAAATATTCATATAATTCAATAAAAATGTTTTATAACAAAGTGTAAAAATTTTAGAATATCTTATACACATTATTCACTTGTATAGGTACTTTATATATATAATTCCTGTAAAAGAAAAAAGATAGGAATACGTAGCATTACATTCTATTTTGTCAGACGCTTATTTTTACTTATCTTACGAAAAAATTAATTATTGCATAATTGCAAACAGTATTATGAAAACTGTTGATACTATATAATGGAAGCCATTTTTTAGTTTATATTTATGTTTTTAAAGTTTTATTTTTATTTAAGAAATATTGTGGTAAAAATAAAGTGGTATGTCGGTGTCGGTGACTTTCTTGCAATAAAAAATATATATATAAAGTGCAATTTTATTTGCTGTATTGATACAAGTTCTGATAAAATTAAAATTTTAATATTACAGGCATAAAAAATATTTTTATTTGTTTGTTAGAAATGGAATTTTAAATAATGATATAAGATTTTCTGTGAGTGTGTGTGTGTGTGTGTGTGTGTGTGTGTGTGTGTAACATCGGAAGTTTGTTATCAATATTAATAATAATAATAATATTACGTTATCAAAAAATAGATCGAATTCTTTTACCAAAAATAAAAGAAGGCAGTTTCATTGTAAATAGTTAAAAACGGATAAAATTTTATATACGTTATTTTCGATCTCTTAACTTTTATTTAAATATTTTCCAAATCTTAGTATTTTTCGAATATTTGACTTTAATTCATTGACTCAGTTTTGCTCATTTTGCCTTATTAATATATATTTTGAATTCTTTGAGAATTGTTTTAATGACAAATAAAACTAAATTTAAAAAAAAGAAGTGATAAAATTGTATAGAATATGGATATGTACATGTTTATTTTTTTTCATGTAAGTTTTTTTTTCTACTATGTCACTGCATAACTATTCTCGGAAAAAATACTACATATTGTACTATGTTAACGAAATTATTAGAATATTATATTTAGGCTATATTCTAAAACGTCCTGTCCAAAGAAAACTTTACTCAGAATGTATCTAAAGCTACATTTTAAAATGTTTTCTCCGAAGAATATTTTATCAATATACTATTATATATAGATACATTACGTGCACCATACATTCTGAGTAAAGTTTTCTTTGGACAGGACGTTTTAGAATATAGCCTAAATATAATATTCTAATAATTTCGTTAACATAGTACAATATGTAGTATTTTTTCCGAGAATAGTTATGCAGTGACATAGTAGAAAAAAAAACTTACATGAAAAAAAATAAATATGTACATATCCATATTCTATAAAATTTTATCACTTCTTTTTTTTAAATTTAATTTTATTTGTCATTAAAACTGTTATCACGTTTCTGGTGTCTATTTGTAAGCTTAGCGTATATATATGTATATATATATATATCAATTTCAATCCTTGAAGAAATTATATTAGGTTTGTCTCTCTCTCTCTCTCTCTCTCTCTCTCTCTCTCTCCATACTTTACCTTGTAACTCGCGATGGAAGTTCTTAGTTAGAGTCAGTGTAACTATTCGCAATATTGAATATTGCTTGCAATATTCAAAATACAGTCCTCATAGGAGGTAACCAGAAATAACTTAAAGTTCACATCTTTCGAAGAGAATATTATAAAAATGGTAGGCTACATTATATAATTTTAACAGAAACTATGATAATAATAAATAATATATCTTATATATCTTATATAAAAAACTCTATAATTGAAAACTACATAATTACATAACTACTAATTATGTAACTATACTTTTTAATTATCTTTATTGCATAAATATAATTATAATTTTGTCTTATATTTATTTTTTATTGTTAATGAGTTTAAACAATATTATAAATAAAGAGTAATTTCTGAGATTGTACATGTGAATATATATACTGAGAAACCCATTTAGTTGAATCAATTAATTTCTTGTTTGGATATGGACAAACAAATCCTTGGTTGATGCAATAAAATAATTTAGTTGAAGCCAAACATTTGGTTATTGTAATATTTCATTTGTTTCTGATAAACATTGATATCTGATAAAGTTGTTTACATCAATTAATTTCTTGTTTGGATATGGGCAAACAAATCCTTGATTGATTCGACTAAATAGGTTTCTCAATATACAACAAGAAAAGAAAGAAAATCTATATAACGATTTTAATATTATATGTTATCCAGTATAATTAATCAGGACCGGCAATTTATTTCGTCCGTGGATATAGAATTTTTGACTGATGAAAGAGGAAAGAGCACAAAATGATGATATTTTTTATTTTTTATTTATTTTGTATTCTTTATTGCGGTCCCCTTTTTTACAATTACGAATTGCATCGCTCTGTCTAACAGTCGGTAAGGGATCATTTATTTTGGCCGTATGCCGTAATTTGTAAGAATTGATTAATCACATTCGAATATTCCTCTCTCATTCAATTGTAAGAGAGAAACGCTCGAATGTGATCAGTCAATTCTTACAGATAATGACATATGGCCAGTAAATAAATGATTTCTGAAAGTTGAATCTTTGTTATGCGCAGTTGTACTGTTATCACAAATATCGGTCAGCGCACATTTTAAAAAGTTCATAGTTGATTTTTAATCCGATTCTTGAATTTCTTTGGCATGGATTTCTACACTAAGCTAAATTTTAGGTGTGGAATGCTCTACGATTCCACATTATAATTGTCGGGCCTGTAATTAATTTTCGAATGGCACACATGGGTCATTCGTATCCATGCATTGCTCTTTTTAACATTCTTATTTCTCATATATCTGCCTGCCTGACCCTACTGCCGGTCCCAACTTTTTTCCAACATCTACATAACAAAATAATTTAGTAGAGACCTTAAAAAACATGTGTGAATTTTTATAGAATTTTTCGAACATTTTAATTATCTTAAAATCGAGTCGGACATACTGTTACAACAAATGACCCATATTGTTCGAAGGTGCTGAAGATAAGTGTGCCATTCGAAGGTTGAGTTCTTTATATGCGATGAGCATTAAATTATGAGCAGTAAATTGCTAATCAATTTAATTTGTGATATTACTACTGTAGTTCAATCGGTTTTCGTTTCAAGACCGAAAAATTAATTTAGCGCGCCATTTAAATGATTATACAGATAGTATATAAATTCATATAAAATTATTTAAGCATTATTTAAAATTATTTAAGCTTAAGATTCAGCTTGATCGTTAAAAGTTTTCTTTTCTTTCTTAATTAGTTTAATTTAATTTATTATGTTTTATATTTAAATCACAAGCAAGGGTATTTTTACAAATCTAAAACAGATGTTTTCTATATTTACAGAGATTGATCATTGCAAAGTTTGTCTTCACAATCATCATCTTCGTTTGCTGGTCTATATTATCAATAGCAAACGTTGATCACTTTGCCATAGAAAATTATGTGAACTTCAAATCACTTCAACCTCTATGTAATGATGATATTTCTTTAAAAAACTTCTCAAATGTTGTGTTCCCTGAAATCAAGCGGGATTTCATCAGCAGCCCTGTGATTACTTGTCTCAATCTTACAGGCAATAATATTGAGAAAATTGATAGAGGTGCCTTCGATAGATTACCAAATTTAACTCAATTGTTTCTTTCAAACAATAAATGGAGCAGCCCATGTGAACTTCTTAATTTTGGAAGTCACGATAAGTTACAAATGCTTATTATGAATGGAAATGCAAAGAACTGCAGCATCGACAACTATTACAGATCATCTCTACAGATTTTCGGCGATTATTCTAACTTAGAAATTTTATCTCTAAGGGAAAATTGTATCAAGGATTTTGTGCTTCACTATAATATAGACTCCTATTTTGCTCATATTCCGAACTTTTCGATTAAAAGCTGGGTGCCCTTCCCCAAGTTAAAAATTCTGGATCTCTCCGGAAACAGGATATCAAGAAATGATAGGATTGTAAGACTATTGTCGAATAGCTTATACTTTCTTGATCTTCATGATAATTTGCTTAATGATTTACGCTTAAACGAAAAAGGAAACAAATTGTTCGCACTGAATTTGGATAGAAATAATTTTAGCACTATTAACAGTCAACACGAATTCCAAACGACTTTATCGATGACTTGTCTGAAGGATCTACACTATCTTTCTATTTCCAAAAACAAGATTCATACTATCGATTCAGGTGCTTTCAAAGACAATAACAAATTGCTCTTTTTGAATTTATCCTCAAATGACCTATATGACCTATATCCGGAAACATTTGCAAATTTGCAGTATTTAAAAACACTCGATCTGAGTGAAAATAAATTCAAGAATGTTCCGCAAATTTCAAATAAAAAAATTAGCACTTTATACCTTAATAACAACTGCATATATAAAATACTCTCGCACAGTTTCACGCATATGCCAAAATTGGTAAAATTATTAATGAGAGAGAATCAGATTTATGAAATTGATGTTAATGCATTTGCTCCTCTTATTGTCCTAGAAGAATTAGATTTGTCGAGAAATTTGTTAAGCTCTTTACCAAAAGGATTGGCGGAAACTTTTGTATCTTTGAAATATTTGGATTTAAGTAAGAATAGATTCACTTCACTGAAGTCTTTGTTAATGAATACATGGCCATCGATAAAAGTATTATATTTAATAAAAAATCCATTAAAATATCTTAATGTTAAATATTTTGAAAATTTACCGCAGAATCTCACTATTAACTTGATAAATAATTCAAATTTTACAACTTACGTAAACGGTATGAATATTTATGCGTGTTTATGTTTATACATATATATATATATATATCAGGGTTGGGTTACTTTTTAAAAATAATGCGTTACTGTTATCGTTATTGTGGTAACTCACCGTTATATGTTATCAAATTTAAAAAGCAACTCATTACCATTACTTAAAAGTAACGATAAAAAATCGTTATTTTTCGTTACCTTTTTGTAATTATGCAGGATGAGACGAGCCTACTACTCACCGATTTTGATGAAATTAGACTCAATCGACACGTTTTTGCACGAAATGAACGAATCTGGCAAAAAAATAAGTCTCTGTCCCGTAAACTGAGATTAATGGTTAAAGTTGATGACTATTGAGGTAAGGAAATCTATCCTAATTTCATTAAAATTGATGAATAAACCTATCTTCTAATTACACTTGTTAAAATGGTAAAACAGGCTTCTAGGATAGAGTATAAATAAACTATAAGATATTTAAAAACATTTATCTTTTAACATTTTTATCTTTTATTAATATTTTATATACTTATGTTTAATTCTGTGGTGTTTTATTATATAGTAAATATTTTAGTTTTTAGTGCTTATGCTAAAGCGACGATACTGATTGAAACAAAAATAAGCAAAAAGTTTTTTATGTATTTAGTATTTATAATTTTATTGTCCGTAACGGCCGTGACCTATAAAAAAGTAACGAGACAACGAGACAAGTAACGGGATCAATTTCGTTACTCGTTATTAAAGATGTAACGTCGTTACTTTTTTTACTAATAAAAAAAATTACGAAAAAGTAACATTATTACAAGTAACACGTTATTTTCAACCCTGTATATATATTCATGCATGAAAAATTTTTTATCGGGGCTGCGCACAAAATTCCTGTAACATGTATGTGTCATATAACATGAGTCATATAACATGTTTATAAGATTCATGCAAGATTCTTGATTTACCTACATATCATATGCGATATATTCTTATATGTTCCTATCCGAAATTCGTATGTAAAAATCCTCTTGGAAGATCTCACAAGAATTTTTTTTGTAAGAATTTGCAATAGGAAGGCCACATTACCGCACCCACATTTTACTTCGAGTTTTATTAATAGTGTCCTAATAGTACTCTTAATAGTAATAAATATTCATAACTTTGAGTTCAGAATCGATTTAACAACATTTTAACGAATGTAATTGTCAAGTTTTAAATTTATATATTAGGTGTTGGAATTAATTCGTAGCGTTTTTAATGAAAGAATGTTATTTATTTCACATGAGCATTAAAAAATACATTAATGAAAGTACTTCCCATCACTTGTAAAACGCTACGAATTAATTCCAACACCTAATATTATTAACAAAGTTATTGTATAAAATGTAACTGCGGCGTGCCATAATACCTCCTTTTTCTCTGCTCTGTTTCTTTCTATATATTTTATGAAAATTTACAAAGATTTTTAAAAATTTATTATTAGAATTTAATTATAGATAATATATATTAAAGATTCATAATTTTTACATTATAACAAGAAATATATATATTTTTTATTTTTTTATATATTATTATATTTAGTATTTTATTTTTAGTATTATATTTAATACTATATTATTTTTCTATTATTATTATTTTATAATAATAACAATAATATAATTTTATTATCACAATAATTAACACAGTAATCGAAACATTTATTCAAGTAATACTACATAAATAATTAAATATAAACAACACAAATAATAGAAATAATAATATAAATGATTAAATATGAAATGTTTCTTTATTGATCCTTTCGATTCGATATCTCGAAAATAGCGCACTCTACGATACTTTGCACTGCTGTGCACTACCAGCGTAAATATTTTTGAAATTAAAGATTACTAGAAATACTAGTTACGTGAAAGACGTGAAAGTACTTGCGTATTTACTAATAACATATAATTAATACATATAATTAATCGCATTAAATTTTATCATATATGTGATAATGAGTGAAAAACGTGAACACGAAGGCAATGATACGGAAGACGACTGGATTGGACCATTACCTTCAGAAGCTGCACAAAAGAAGCAACGAGGTTAACTAACCTAACTAAGATTGTTGTCATTAATTTTTTATAATTTTAATAAATGCTAAATAAAATTCTATTTATATGTGTTACTGTTTTTTTCACTTCTTATTCTCCTGTCGAACATATGACGTAATTATTTTCTAATAATTTAATACGAATAAAAGTAAAAAATATAAAGCTTCTCTACTCCACAGAGAAAATTTTAATTTTTCTATTGTCTCTGAGATCTTTATTCTTTATGCTTAATATTTCTTGAGATAAAAAGATTACGTTTTACTTTAAAAAATTATATATATCATTTGAAATTTTTTTCTTTTGATTTTACAGTCTTGGAGTATGAACAAGTATACAAAGATAATTTGCCATGCTGCGAATGTTATGAAAAATCTTATATGCATAGGGATGTCATTACTCATATTTTAGTAACAAAGTTAGTATGATAATAATAATTATGTGTAGCAGTTATTTTTCTCAAAATCTTATTTATATTTATTGATATAGGTCCAATTTCGTAATAACTGCCAGTTGCGATGGACATGTAAAATTTTGGAAAAAGCAGGAAGAATTAATAGAATTCGTAAAACACTTTCGAGCTCACTTAATGGCAATACAATCGATATCTGCTAGCTGCAATGGTGTTCATGTATGTTCAGTCAGCATAGATAAAACTATGAAAATATTTGACGTTATTAATTTTGGTAAGTATTAAAGTTTACAGGTGACTTAAAATTTCAGATATAGAAGACATATTTAATTATTCTGTCATGTATGCTATTTAAGATATGATAAACATGATAAAATTGGACTTTGTGCCACTTTGCACTGAATGGGTTTATTCAGCTGGCGATGCTATAGCTGCTGTGGCAGTGTCTTCACAAGAATCAAATAAGATATATATTTATGATGGTCAGGGATCAAGTATGTCTTTACACGTATTTGAAAAACTGCATACTAAACCAGTTGTCATAATGAAAGTAAGTTAGGCTATAATAGAAAATCAATGAAAAAAATCAATCAATTAAAATAAGAAGGAGAATAATATTTCTTTTGCAGTATAATCCTGTATATGAAACATGCATTTCCGTCGATAGAGCTGGAATATTGGAGTACTGGACAGGTCCAAAAATGGAATATAAATTTCCTAAGTGTATATCATTTGAATCAAAATTGGACACTGACCTGTTTGAGTTTGCCAAAAATAAGACTTATCCATGCGGTTTAGCGATATCGCCTGACGGTAAACGATTTGCGTCCCTTAGTGGAGACAGAAAAGTTAGGATCTTCAATTTTCGGACGGGCAAATTATACAGAATATTTGATGAAACACTGCAGAGATTTAGCGAATTACAGCAAACTGTACAGCAACTTCCAAACATGGAATTTGGACGTAGGTGAGATGTTTGCATTTTGTGTAATCAAAGTTAAATTGATTCCAATTTTTCAATAACTATTTCTTTAATTTCTATTATTATCATAGAATGGCAGTCGAGAGAGAACTGGATAAAACCGAAACAAATTTGGGAAATATTATTTTTGATGAGTCTGGTTATATTATTCTGTATCCTACTATGTTGGGTGTCAAAATGGTGAATCTTTATACAAATCGTTGTATTAAAATCATGGGAAAGCCAGAGAACATACGGCCAATGCGGCTAGCATTATTCCAAGTATTGAATAAAAATCTTATCATTAAAACACTAGTCATGAAGCAACAGATACAATAAATATGTAATTCAAAATAGGGAAAAGCGAGAAAGACTACTGCCGCATTAACTGTCGAGATGGAGGCTTCCGAGAATCCCACAATGGAAATGAATCGGCCGGATCCTACGTTGTTTTGCACGGCTCACAAAAAAAATCGATTCTATATGTTCACGAGACGAGAGCCGGAGGACACAAAGAGTCAGGAATGCGACCGCGATGTATTCAACGAGAAACCTTCTAAAGAGGACATCATATCTTCCACGGAGGCCACAAACATGCAAAAGATATACGACACGGCGATAATCCATACGGCGCTCGGCGATATCCACTTGAATCTCTTCGGCAAGGATGTTCCCAAGACAGTGGAGAATTTCTGCGTTCATGCGAAGAATGGTTACTTTAATAGTCACATATTTCATAGAGTTATCAAGGGTTTCATGATACAAACGGGCGATCCAACTGGGACTGGTACTGGTGGTGAAAGCATATGGGGAGGCGAATTCGAGGATGAATTCAAGCCAAACTTGAAGCATGACAGACCATATACTCTGAGTATGGCAAACGCAGGGCCAAATACAAACGGCAGCCAGTTTTTTATAACATTGACACCGACAGTGAGTACAAATTTTTTCAACAAAGTTTCTCAGAAATTGATTATATATGTTCTTCAGATTTTACTTAAATATTTTGTTCGTTTTTAGCCCTGGTTAGATAATAAGCATACCGTGTTTGGCCGAGTTCACAAAGGAATGGAAGTCGTTCAGAATATCAGCCAGGTAAAAACAAATCCTAAAACTGATAAGCCTTACGACGACATACGAATAGTTAGCGTGACTGTTAAATAATTTTATATAATAAAAATCAGAAAACATTAGTATAAAATATATCAATACATTTTCCTTCTTAATAATTTCATGATTTGTATATTTATGATGTCCATTTACTTTTGCGTCATTTGATATAATAATCCTCTGATGAAGTTATATGCTCCCGTGACAGAAACGAATAAATTGACGCTGAACAAATTATAATTCTTTGGTATAATGACCAGTGAGTATCTAGAATTATGCAAATTCAGATGAGTCAACTTAATTAATTTTCTATAATAAATCATAAAATCTCAAGTAAAAGATATTTATATACCTAGACCAAATAGCACCTGTAATCATAAGACTCGCGGTTTGGCTGAGAGAAATCGTATCTACAGGTCGATTAATATCTCCTATACCCGCTATAACCAGACCCCATTTAAATGTTGGCGCCCAAAAGAATACGGTTGTCGGACCTGACAAATTGATTTTTTCTCGAAACATTTTTTGATAAACAATAATAAGATTGGAAATAAGACCGTTTATATTAGATACATTATTTTAAATACGAAGTATTATATTATTAATATTATATTACGCCGTTACGGTCTGAAGGTTAAGATGTTGAATTATTATATATATTCATTTAAATGAATTAATTTCAGAAATTATAATTGCGTGCCGATATGGTTGTCGGACTTTCAACGCAATCAATCTGAAATATTAATAATCCCCCCAAATTTCCCAAATTTAATCTTAAAAAACTGTAATAAACTTTTATTGCGAAAAATATTGCCTCGGAGTCGAGCCCGGATTTCCTGCATTCCGTGCAAGCGTCCTAAGCCTTTATTTTTTGATAAATTTAGGTGTAATCTCTTTCTGAGAAAAAATTTAATTGAACAGACCATACCTGCAGGATGCAAAAATGCGGCGCGAAATTGCTCGGGTAAGACCGAAGCGATCTTTAACATTAATCTCTTATAAGCACTGGGTGATGCCATAATTCCTTCCGTGTAAAACTATTCTATTAAATTGAATAAATATATTTTTTATAATATAAAAATTATATGAAATCTTCATAATACAGCCTGTAAAAAAAAGATGTAAATAACAGCTATAATATACACATATATTTCATACAATTTCGATAATGACTTCATTCAGTATTAACATACACTGAGTACCAAATATTTTAATTGTCCATGCATCATTGTATTTATAAATTGTAATTATTTGTGAAGCCTAAGGACTGTCAGTTAACATTCAATTAATATGCAAATCACTTTCTTAATTTTTAATTTTTTAAATAGTTTGCGAGATATTTTATACATACATTCTATATTCTTATGATATTATAATCATAATAACCTATTTTGTAAATAAGAATTCATTCGAAGAAGCAATAATGAAAGAACTTAGAAGAAAAAACTTAAAAGAAAAAGAAAGGCAACGAAGTATCGGACAGTAGCGAAATAAACATATTAATATTTTATTATTTATTTATTATTTCCATACGTAGAATTAGTTGCATAATTCTTGCAACAATGATATAGTCCACTACGTCACAGTATATATAATTCAGTATATATAATCAGTATATATAATTTTTTTGCATTAAACTGCAATTTCATGTCGACAAAATTATCTGTCACAAAGATTTGGCCTGCAGTGTTAAAAAATGAAATACAATACAATTAAATTTAAATAAATTTTAAAAATAACAAGAATACAAACTGAGATAAAATAAAATGTCGGTACACATAAAAGATAAAAACAAGACGAAAACAAAACCGTGCTCGAAGGATATGGAAGAACTAAAGTATCTGATATGTGCTATTGACAGTTGGTACGTGCAATTTAATTTATGAAATTCCAATAAATTTCAACGATCAAAATTATTGCGTGTTTGGTAGAAGAAAAACAATTAACGTTTAGTTCCTGGCAATTATTAACTGTTCTAGTTTCAAAGTATAACATTTATAGCAAATGCCCAAGCATTCCACCACCGCGCAGTATAATTTTACCCCCGAGAGTTGAAGAAATTCCTTGCAAAAGTCCACCCAGGAGGCCGCCTTGCATTCCACCACCTCGATGTTGTCCGATAATACCTGGGCCTTGTTGCCCCCAGTCACTACCGATACTTTACTGCAGTCCTTGCTACCCTTGCACTCCATTACCGTATTGTTCAAACAAATAGAAGGATCAAGAAACTTAAGAAAATAAAGAAAACGTATAAAATTAACTCATTGATTGCCACGTCTTTTACATTATAAATGACGTCTAATTTCATGAAAAACTCTCAGAAAGCCAAACACATTTTCTTTTTCACAATTTATTTTCTTTTTGCCTTAAAACATTTAAGATTTAAATATTAATAGAGTCTGTAATATTTTCGACATAAAAAAGTAAAACGAAAAAAAAAAACATATTTGACTTCCTGGAAATATTTCACAAAATTATATAATATATTTATGAAAGATATGCAATTAGTGTGTTAATATATTGTATAATATTTATTTTAGCTTATGCATATTTGTCATTTTGGGATAAGCAACGACGAGTATAAAGATCAAAAAGGAAACCCTTTCATAGCTGAAATAAAGGAAGGAAATTTATTACAAATCCATATAAAACATTCATATTTTGTTTGATTTTAACGAAAAATCTGTACGTATACGATCGACAGAATCTAATCAAAATATCGGATATCTTTTTCTCTTTTCGGAAAAACGAGATCAACGCAGCCCCACAAACGGTGATCTATTTCGACATCATATGATCTGTTTTCTGTTCCTAGACTGCACTAGAACTTTCTTTTTCGTTTTCGACAAATGTAAAACATATACCTATCTCATTTTAATTTTCAAAAGTGTAATACACTAGTTTAGCCGCAGAAAACAGACCTATAGAATAATATCGATAGTCGCGTATTTTACAGGATTGCATGATATGTTCCAAATAAAAGCATCACCGCTGTTCTTATAAACAATATCAATGATGAATAAATACCATTATGATAGAGACAGAATCATATTCGTACCTCACGCGCATCTATCGTAGCTTAAATATCGATAGCAAATAACCGAGGCTACTTTGCTTGGTCGATTGTGTGTTTATTTTCAGGAATATCATCTTATATTTTTGTATTGCTCGAGGATTCCGATACGATCAGTATAAAGATACGTTGGCGAACGTATCTTTATACTGATTACATTTTAGCATATACGCTTTTCTTTAAGTTCAGACAATTCGCGATCAAAGGTTTCAATCAGATTTCAGCAAAACAATTTCTTTTTTTCTTTTTTTTTTCAGAAAAGTGCTATTATGAATTCTCGTATATCTCGATTCTTTTAATCAAATGATTTTCATCTGCTACTGGAGTTATATCTTTGATCCTATTAAGGGGGAACATCACCCCAGTCAGAAATGATAATGGAATCGACATCGAATCGAAAGCATCAAATCGACGTCGATTTGATGTCGATTCCATTATCATTTCTGACTGGGACCCTTGAGACCTAAAATTAAATGATATCTAATTTTGGCAATTTTTTGCAGTAAACTAAATAAAGTCAATTAAAAATTGTTTTTAAGGACTTTACTATATGAATTTTCTTGAAAATAGAACTTAAGAGTATAAAAAACAATTTGTTTTTTTATCACACAAAATGGCGAGTGCATAATGCATATGCGGTGTACACGGAATTTTCTACACATTTTCATGTGGAACAAAAATCCAAAAATTTTTATATCTTAACATACTTAAAGCTAGAGAAATACGTAGGATTATTTCAAAATATTTATTTTTGCAAAAATGATAAATGTTCAAAAAAAGCATTACATTTTCAAAAAAATTTCATCTTTAAATGTTTAATAACAATAAAGTTTTTAATATATCACAAAAATCCTACGTACTTCTCTAGATTAAATATCTGAGAGTAATCCGTACAAATTTTAAATAAACCGATTAAGAATTGTAAAAGTTATCGTGTATATCATGTTTGTAAACCTCGTTTTGAGAAAAACGCGTTTAAAGTTTTCACCTTATAAAATTATAAATCGGAATTGTGCCTTTAGTGTGCAATGCCTGCGTCATACATTTTACAAGTGGCAATATCTATCTGGCAAAAACCTGTTTCTTTGAAAATTTGAATTTCCTTTTATCTGCGGAACTCTGCTCCGCTTGGAGCAAACTCAGCGACGAGGCGATACACGATATTGGCTCTAATTATACAATTGATTACCGACTTAAAACTATTGTAATATTATTCTTAACAATATGAACTATAAATTTAAGTAAAAAAAATTTTGATTATTTTCAAACCTCAAGGGTGGGGTTCCCCCTTATATATCGTGAATTTTTACCGCGGGAGATAGTTAAAATATTAATTAAATACAAATTGGTGTTTTTTCGGCGCGGAGGTAGCAAAGCGATTGACTTTCTCATTACCAGCTGATATTATTAAGTAATTATTATTATTATCGTTACTACTAACATGCTGCCTTATAAACATTCATAATCTACATTATTGACTACATTATTGTTGGCTTATTTATAATTCAGAGAAATGATGAGCTTACAGTAATATTTCAAGTAGACCGTTAGCACACACACACACAGCACAAATATGACGTGAAATATTGGGAGATCTTTGCAGAATTTTCTTTCTGAAACGCCAAAACTAATTTTACGCCTCAAAGCCACATTATCGTAAATTACATTCGTCTGTTTGCGTGAGCTTACATATCAGATGCAGAGTATTACATTTGCATCTCATAAATGTAATTTTTTATCACATATCCTGTCTCATTATCGATGACTTTATTTCTGATATTACATCGCGCCGAGCTCTTATTTTATTCAGTGGCCTCGTGATAAATCATAACATCGTATTCGCTATGATGAGTCACATACAATAAGACCCATTCGAAACGGAATATGTAATAACAGTCATTCTTTATATGCGCGGCACGAATAGAAATGCGACGCAACGTCGGAGCTCTCTCATAAAATTGTGACTTATATTGCTTACGCATACATACGTATGTGCATGTTTCGCTCTAAAGGGCTTACCAGATTGCTTGGTGAGAAAATGCATTTTGAGGATAGGTGGAATTAAAAATACAACATTTTGACATTAAAAATGTATTTTACATACGTATTTGAGATTGTATATATTTATTTACACAATCTCATATCTAAAAGACTGCGAAATCAGAAAATTTTTCATTTCTTATCTTTCATATGAAATTTGACTGTATAAAGAATGCTCGTGTATAATTTCCAGAAATTTAATCTGAAGCACAAAACTCAAATATCTTATACTATCTATCGAGACTTGGCACATTTTAATGTTTTGGTATTAATGAAATTATGACCTTTTTCTAAAACTAATTCTTCTTTTCAAAAGGTCACAATATTTATGGAAAACTAAAATCATAAATTTAAAAAAATATTGCATCTAATAAAATATTTGAATTTTGTAACAAATCAATCCTACAATTTTGTCTACAGTTTAAAATACAGTTTCGCAGCAATAAACATTATATATTTATAGAAAATTTTTAAAAATATATCTAACAAAATATTTGGATTTTGTAACAAATCAATCCTACAGTTATTCTGTCTACACAGTTTAAAATATAGAGTTTCGCAGCAATAAACATTATATATTTACAGAGAAGATATAAACAAATCGATTTATTGTTATTTTATAGTTTTCCAGAAAATTATATAAATAAATACATTTTTAACGTCAAAATATACTTTATATTCCGTCCTTCAAAGAAAAAAATATTCATTAAAAATTACATTTTTTTACCGCACAGTTAATCTTTATTAAATCCTTATCCATTTGACTTTTTGAAAAAAGGAACGTATCTCGTTTAACTTTTAAAGTTTCTATTGTAAAAGTTTATATCGGGATGTTTTTGGAGTTAAAATTTTATTCGTAAAACAAATATTTATCATGTTGGTAAAAATTACGTAGTAAAACCCAAAAATTTTCAAATTAATCTGTATCCACTAGTACCATCCAACATCGTTAGATTTTTTTGTCAT